AGAAATCCTTTACCTTTAAAATTTTAGATAGGTAGGAGTGTACATGGACACCTTACGAAAGAGAATGAGGCATTTAACTATTAATAATAATTTATTGATAAATTACAACTGGGAGACAGTTTTAGTTAAAGTTATCGATAGGTATATAAATGATGTTAAAAAGAACGATCGCAAAATGAATGAAAATGGCGATGATGAACGAAAGTCTTCCAGGATTGAAGAAACCTGTAGGACCGGTCCTTGCCAACATATCAAGTTTTTTGTTCCCGGCTCGACCATTATCAAGTGCATCGTACAAATTATGAGAGCAACGTATATCGCACTGTTCTATTATACTTCTCAATGAAAAATATCAATCCAAGCAACCTAATTAATTACGCAATTTAACATAGGTCATTTAAGGTGATTAGGTAAGGTACCTACGTAGATATTATGAACCTTTATCATAACTTTATGGAAAAACCTATAGCATAATGTTGTGGTTGGACGATACGCTTATCAAAATTAATGTTAGATTGATCGAGATGACTAACAAAGTGTAAGATTGAATTTGGATGTGTGATTACAAAAACATCTAAGGTCAGCAATTATACACATGTATAGATATCGAAATGTACCTACCTACTTAACAAATTATTTGAAATTATACTTAAATATGGTGATAAACTACGGTCGTAGACAATAAATAAATAGCACGTTCTGCGATCGTATACCTTTAAAATATCGTATACTTTTTTTAGGAAGAACTCTAAAAAAGAACTTTTTTTAAATAATAATTTATTCACAGTATCTTTTGTTAGTCCGGTTAGCCACCTGCGAAATGCCAGTAAAAAAATCTTTGTCGTCCCTTGAGACAACAGTTATGTCCGAAATACCTGGCACCCTTCAATTCAACGTAATACAAGCTTTAGTTCAGCGAATTCGGGTGAGTCGGTCTTTGATGACTAGCGCACGTGTGAGTAGTACCTACCTAGTTTGGTACTAGATTCGTTTTTAGCAAACTACATCACATCTCGCCGTCCGTTGTTTCGGACTAGTTTTATAAATACTCTCTTGTATTATAAATAATTAATTATAGATTGATACTGATCAATTATTTGCCCAAAATTTACAAGAGATGCACTGACGAGCATTCACTTGTCAACAGTTTACATAATTATTATGTTACTTTAGGAATTTAAAATTAGCGAAATGAATCTTTCTCTTTCTAGAAAAACATCCAAACCAGGGTTATAATCACGATGGAGTTACAGTAAGAAAAACATATTATTGTGGTCCTTTGGCCATATTTCTCGTTTGTAGACGCGTCTCGAATTTTTAAACATTAGATAGGTTGGCAATTTCTTGTCAAAAAAAACACTTTTTTATTTAACTACAACCCTGTAAGTTATTTCAAGGAAGTAATTAAATATTGGAACATTTTCTTTGGGTACAGTAGATAAGATGTAGTATTATTACAATGTCCGCATCAGTATCCACTGATTGTTTTGGTCAATATTGTAGCTACTTACATTATACTAACTAATAAAAATTGAACACATTTGGCGTATTTCACGGCATAGGTACTGTGAAATACATTATTAGTTCTAAAACATTTACCATAAAAGCACATCAAAATTCGATTCTTTGAATAAAAACAATATGACCCATCAAGTTGTGAATGTTCGAGTTTTGAGATGGGACTAAGATCGGCATGCGGCGGGGGCGGGCGGACGTGCCAAGGCAGGCAGGCAAGCAACATATTTACTCATACGCCCGAGGCGTAAATCACCGTGCATCTATTTCGAGTTGGCCTGTGCGGGTGTGGGCACAGGCGGAGGAGGGCGGGGCGCGGGTAGACGCCGATGCCGGTCTGGCGCCAGAAGGATTCCCCAGCGCCCCGCACTCCCCGCGCCATCGCTCGAGGTCGCCGTGCGCTCGTGTCGCTTTTCCGTCGCAAATAACTGATCTACCGCTTATCCTCAAAATCAACGGTTTAAAAATTTTATCAGGACAAGCAACTGACAATATTTGCAATGCCCAGTTGCCTATATTCACAATGCCTGTCCCCTATATTAACTAAGTATGCTGTACATTCCTGGAATTGCAATTCAAGTGTTACGTTATCTTTATAGTTTTTTGCAACAGTTGTGATTGTTTGTTCCTTGTTTTGTAAACTGATCCCTAAGATGACATTATACAACCTTTTATTAGGTCCAAAGTTTCGCAAGATAAAAATAAGATTAAATCTATCGTCTAAAATAATCGGTTTATTTTCGCCTTAATAATTTTTAGCAAATCATGATAACAACATTGTATGAATATATCGAGCTAAATTCAAAGCTAACATATTTAAGGAGATATCAACAAATCAACAAGAAAAAAATTACGTAATATAATTTAGTGTTTCAGTTTTATACTCACTTGTTAAGTTCTTTTGATCCTGTCCGAGATAAACCAAGAATTCACCGAGGTGTAGTTGGCAATCTGGTCTTCCCTTCCCCCCACCCTGTCCGGCCCCGCGCAGGGATGCCCTGCGGTCATTGGTTACTCATACATCTTGCAAAACTTGTATTCGTTCCATTACACCAATTTAAGATGCTTGTTTACATAGCTACGTGCACAACACTGCTCTCACTATTTGCACTAGTGATATTTAATAAAAATTACATAAAAATAGAATCAACATAATTGCATGTATACTATCACACATGAAAACGCGCGCACCGCGTTGAACTCCGACAGAGAATGAATATTACTACCGAATTGAAAGTAGGTATTACATACAAAATATCAAGCTAGCCGGACAGATGTTTGTATAGATATACAAAGCCAGCGGAGTGTGACTCACACTCAATGACTCTTAAAACACAGTAGTAGAGGTTATAACACATTATTTTAACAGCAGATACAGTTTGGTACAACTGTACTACGCTGTCCACGTATAAGTCCAAACATAGTAGGCATAGAAAGACTCCATCGTAATCAACGGACATTTGTAAGCCACGAGCCTTAAAATGTAGTACAAAAAAATAATTATTCAGATTCGACGACTCGTCTTTTTTGCTCTTCTAATAATGCAGAACATTTTCTTTTTTTTTTGTGCAACTTTATTTATAAAATCATTGGAATAAGTACTTAAGTAGCTACTTTAATTTACCTACTATAGATAAAAGGTAAAAACGAGTTTACGCTAAAGTTCATTAGCACATGTTGAATGTGTTGTATTGTGAAAAGAAAGATCGTGCTTTATGAAGAAAAGAAAATAAACCACTGATTAAAATTATTGAATACCTACGGAGACGATAAATTAATAATGGTTGTTATTGCAACCATATTGTTCTATAATTTCTTGTAAGTGTTGTTTAAAGCTATCCATTGCGCCATCTAGCAAGTATCATATAAGTTAATACAAGCAGCTGCACATAGATGGCAGTTACAGCACTTTGTGGTGTGCGAATTTTTTATCATCTGCGATAACTCGAGTAAGATTTGTCATAAAATATTTCGAATAGTATCTGTGCAGTAAATATTGATATTTTTGGTCATCACAAAACACTTCGCTACAATAGACCAGAAATATTAACAGACATAGGACAAAAGTATGCAGTGCTGAAAAAACACTTTCAACACATATAAAACTAAAGACCAATACGATAAACTACAATATTAGGTATATCTGATACGACCTTTCCTATAGAACCTGCACTTGACTCTGCTGGTTATGACAGCGATGGACTATATTGCAATTCTGAAGTCTCTTCCTTCCGTAATAACAAAAGTGTGACTTCGATCACAGACGATTACTATAATTTCATAATACCCCGCACATTCTTCTGGCATTATCTACCTCTTCGTCATTATTTAGGGGTTTTCTTCGAAAATACACAATTTCAGCGGTTTTATTGCATGCGTTTCATTTCGAGAGAGCTATGTTTTGGCACGAATGGACCGGCTCGAAACAACGCTTGCTCTGTTTTGCTGTGAAAGTGATGTTATTGGAGGTCCATAGGCGGTGCCGACTACTTACTATTAGATGATCTGTTTACCGCCCTATTCCATAAAAACGACACAAATATCCGCTATAAATATTGGATATTAACTAAATAAATTGCGCTTGTCTGGTATCCAATCAGTTTCTGAGACAGTAATTTTGTTACTATGTATTAGTAAATATGAACAAGCGAGTGCTTTTGGATGCGAAAATGCAAAGAGACACTCGCGCAAACAAAGTCACGACAAAGGCGTTAACTACCTACATTACATACTTACATTATTTTCATTTGGCTTAGTTTATTGTGAAATTGATGTAAAGTTTGTAAGGATATTTGATACTTTTCAAACCTAAAAACTATATTAGAGATAAAAAATATATGGTACTTATAGTAAATCGTCTTTTTTGAAGGGGGGAAAATCATTGAATTACAAGGAGCCATCGCGGATCAATGGGAGAGGTCGCCATCGCCAATCACTTCCCTGAGGGCACGGCGGTGCTGAGCCCACGCAGGGCATTCCGCTACAGTGTGTTCCACCGTGTCCTCGGGGCAGTCCTCGCAGTGATGACACCCGGGCGTTTCCTCCCGCCCCTTCGGACACAGGTACCTCCCGAAGCTTCCATGTTCTGTGAGGACCTGCGTCAGGCTGTAGGCGAGGACGCCGTAGCGTCTTTCAAGCCACTCCTCAAAGAGGGGACTTACCGCTGCAATGGCAGCGAGCCCAATAGTAAATGGTCTAGATTCTTTTTTATGTATGGACAAAGAGCAGTAATATGTACTTTATTGAATTGTGATCGAGTTTCGGAGTAGTGGAAAAGCTATAACGGTTACAGAATGTTGATTGGAATTAGTAATTAATTATCTACAAAAGTTAAGGAAATATTGGTAGTAAAAAAACAACCCATAAAAGAAAAGGCTATATTATTTAGTGCAATAAGAGATATCTAACGGATATAAACAAAACATGGATAATACCAGCTCCTTAGTTTAGAAAATGTAATAAATGGCAAATAAGTGAACTTCAAATTAATCAAGTGACATTTCGGCGTCGTCATCTTTTTTGTCACCTTTGTCATCTTTTGGTTTATCATCTTTCTTTTTGTCTTCCTCCTTGGGTTTATCAGAAGTGTTCGATGTGTTTTCAAGCGATTTGAAAAAAGATTGCATGTCACCGGTGTTCGCTGCTGCAGTGACTTCCGAAGGCAAACCAAATTGCGAGATCACAGGACCCATTTGTCCTGATGTCAATGCCGATGAGAATTGGTTTGCTGCCTGGAACACAATTTTAAGAGTCAATCATATTATGAGCAAAACTAATCACACCAACATAATTATTATATCTAGAAAATTTCTTAGATACTTCACCTATCTTCATTATAGAAATAAATTACCGGTAATATTTCTGCGGAAATTCCAAGACCATGCAAATGGCAGAACATAGTTTTTGGTTTTCCAATTTAGTTATGTAACATACATCGATTTATCTAAAATTTTGACGACGATCGTCGCTATCATGCACCAAAAATTTAGTTATTGATACCAGTACCATCGAGAATTAAAACATTGTCCGATTTTTCCTAAATTAAGCGTTAATTTATTAATATGTTTGTTCCCACTAAATGCCAATACAATAATGATGTAGTGCACACAAATAAGAAGTAAACGATACAAAAGTTAAACCTATAACTAGATACAACAAATGTTTATTTAATTACGTTTCCTCTTCGCTATTATTAGTCTTCAAACTCAGGTTGTTATTAGTACTTCATAAGAGTAAAGAAAACGTTGAATTCCGGAGGGTTAAGGCGTCCGTTACTCGTGCATGAGGGCGCGGGTTCCAAACCGCCAAGTACCAAGTTCCGAGATACTATAATAACTTTAGATTATTTAGAGACCAATGACAAACGATGAAGGAAATATCGTGAGAAAACATGGGATTATAATTTCTAATTATAAGATCGAAGTCTGCCTTGAGCAAGGATGGTGATTAATGTTCAACCCTTCTTATGCTTAGCAGTAAGCACTTATAGGCTGTTGGTCTGATTGCAAGAATACTTTAGGGCCCACATAATCATCGCACTTTCTTTATGTTAAACTAGGGGCCCCGGCTTCACGTGGGTGCTACTTCCAGATGAATGTATCGAATCTTACTTTTATACAAATTTTGACTCGACGATAACGAAAACGACATAAAAGAATTACTTATACAAATCGATGCAGTCATTCAACAGTATGGGTGTACATACATTTTGGTGATCCACTTTTATCAATATGGATAGTTAAGGGTGGAAAATTAATTTGAGAAACTTAATATTCATTGATGAAGGTTTAAAATTATCATGCATTTTTAGTAAGAACAGTTAGTATTTTTATGTACAATTGTACAGATCCGAGTTAAATGACCAGTATCCAATGCATCACACAAAGCGTTCAATGCAAAGCGCATACCCCTCGCCTCTGTAAAACCAGCCAGACCAGAGTCCCGACGACGGTATTTGCCGCAGCCTAGGACTGGAACGCTATACGTGAAGGTTCACCTGAGCGAACTGCGGTGAGAGCAGGGTGGTCCTTACATCGTCCTGGGGGGCGCCGGGCGACGCGGGCGGCAAGTGCGGAGTCAGGCGCGACGCGTTGCCGGGCGCCGTGGCCGCCGTCACCACCTCGGGCGACGACAGCGCCGCCGCCAGGTCCACGCGCGCGCCCGCGGCGCCGCCCGCCGCGCCGCCCGCCCCCGCCGCTCCAGCCGCGCCACCAGCCGTCGCTGCGCCGCCGGCTCCGGCATCGCCTTCTGGTGGAGCATTACCGAGCCCAGAGAAGTAGCGCTGCAAGTCTGACAAGTAGATCTGCCCACCTGCACCATCTGTACATACATTGAAGCACTTTCTAAGCACTTGTATATTTCATGCTTTGAAGAAGCAAACGATTTTCATTTTTCCACTCATACTGAAATTTAACCCCAATTGATCCAAACATTATCTTTTTCTTTACTTATTTATATAATTCTACTGGTGGCTTTTTCTTAAATATCACTGTGCATAATGTGTCAAATGACATTATCATTGTTAACTTGATAATATAATAACTTGATTAACTCACCACGTGGCTGAGCAGCTGTAGCTGTATTGGGCGGAGTGGCAGTGGGAGCAGGTACATCGCGCGCACGTGACGGCGTGCGAGTGGTGCTAGACTCCGTGGTGCGGGGAGCACTGCCGCCGCGGCTGCTATTGCCACTACCCGCAGAGGGCCGAGCACTAGTATTACCGCTGTTACTGCCACTATTGTTACTGTCAAAATAGGAATGCAGATAAAGACAATACAAAATGAATTGTTTGAATAGAATTAGTTAAGTGTGGCGTTCCACACTGGGAAAATAAAATTTCTCCTTCTTTGTCTCCCACTTTTCAGGACATTAAATTTGTCCAGCGGCTCGACATCAATTCTATATGTCGAGCAACGCCGTGCGCGATGCCGCGTGTGTCGCCCGACATCGCAAGAGACATTTATGTATCCCGGGACAGGTTACAAGTCGACGCTTATTAAGTGTCGACATGCGCGACTACCGTGTCATAGTATAAAGAACAAAGTAGGTTATCTTCATACAAATGCTCCGCGCGCGGCTTATATGTGTGCGCCATAGTATCTATGCGTCGACGCACGCACACTTTAACAAAATCTCGACCCGTTTCTCAGTGCGCCAGGCAGGGCTGACACTGTACGAGGTTCGCGCGCGCTTCACGGCTTTTCGGCACTGTTCAATGAAATAAAAAATGTCTGATAATCGTAGAAGAACGTATTGCTGTGTGTTTGGGTGTCTTAATAATTAATCGATTCCAGAACTGTCTCTGTTCAGATTAGGTACCTATTGAACAGGAAAGGTAAGCTAATCACTTTTTCTAGCATAATATAATTTGTAGGTACTTGATGATGAGATACCTACTTACTTATTCTTACTCTTATCATTCTTCATAGTTCCTACTCAACCAGAAATGTAATTACCTACTATACCTACTTAAATATTATAAGAAAATGTGGTATTGTATTGTTTATTTCACAGTTTACCTGATTTGTTAAGAGTGTAGCCGAGTCGCATTTTTCCATAAATGTATTCCCAAATTTACTTTCTGAATACTATGTATAGAGCTAAAGTTTATTTTAAAAGTTAATAATCTTTTTATAAGCTTTTAATTTTTACTAAATTTATAAATTGATAAAATATTCAATCATAATATGCTTTTCATTTCATAAATTTAGATCAAGTGCTGCTTGTTCGAAAATATTAACTAAAAGTAAAAGTGACAACCCTGGGGATCAACGCAAGAGTAGGCTAATAACTCGGCGGGCGGCCTTAGATAACCTACTGTGTTCTTTATACTATGACCGTGTCCCTCGATAGTTGCCGGACAAGCTTTGAATAGTAAGAACGTGTGTCGCTATGTGTTTTGAAAATAGCAGTAATGTGGTCCAATAAGCATAATATATTGACACTTATCAAGTTGTATCAAAATTCGGAATTATTATGAGACAAATCTCATAGTGACTAATTCTTTTTTACGTTTTGCAATTGTCTTTAGATTGAAAAGACTAACTCCTCAGCCAATGTAAACAAGTCATATGTCGCGAGACATTTTTCTCACAACTTCAGAGACTGCAGTGACATGTAGTAAAGTGAAAATACGACTTGAAGGTGGTGTGCAAAATGTAGGATTTAAATGACTTCTTACATTACTTATTGACTATGGTGAAACAGGGTGAATAGGTTTCTAGACGTGAATAAAGACAGAAGCGGAGTAAATAGATACTGTAAAAATATCCTAATATCTATTCACCCCAGTTTACCATAAAAAATAATACTACATAACAACTCATTTTTAAAGTTTAGGTGATCTCAAGTCAGTCAAAGTAGCTTTTATAACAGTACCCCTAAGGAGATTACAAGGTGTTATATATATATATTACATAAAAAAAATATAATATACCCCATGGTGCCGAGTAAGGAAGACAATCCTCCAATTTGTCCGACTCCTCCAAGGAGCTGCATCAGCTGCTGCTGGGACATGTTATTCAATATGTTTTGTAGCTCTCCATCTTGGCCACCACTTCCACCACCCCCGCGACCTCCAGACGTAGGAGGATTGTTCAATGCCTCATTAATACGGCGACAATAATCATCATCTTTGTCAGTTTTTGGTTCCTGTAAAAGAAACATTGAACTAATAATTTTTGTTTGATTTTTGTTTACAAATCATCTTTTATTTTCTTGTTATTAAAATGTTCCCCCTTTGCTATAAAGAGAATGACTTACCTGCATCCAAAAGAAATACTTCTTTGAAAACGACTTGAACTTGAGAACATAAACTCTGCCTGTTGTGCATTCATTCACTCGTACAAACTCGCAATCGTCAGGAAATATTAGCAAGTCATCCTCCACTTCGCCAGTAGTACGATCTTTCCAACAAAAGTGCATCAACGAATCTTCCCCTTGGTACACGTATAAAAGACCCTTTCTTTTGTCAGGGTGAACCATACGACCTTTAAGAGTCATTCTGCCTGCACGAAATTCCACCAGGTGCTTGTTACCGCCAGAGCTGCCACCCAAGCCGGATGTGTTACCGAATAACGCAGTGGCCGACATGATACTGGAGCTGAAATATATTATAATTAACAATTACATTTGGCTTTTTATTGATTATTACAACGGAAAGTGCTTAGCAAAGCCATCAGCCACGAAATACGTCTGTTCATAATATGTACATTACTGTGTTATGTTGTATACCTTAGTATTGTGATTAATAAAATAATAATCAAACAATTGTTGCTGCTGCAAAATGTAGAATAATTTACAATTAAACACTTTACACGACGTAATAATTAATGATAGAATGACAGAATGACTTCGGTTTTTTAGTTCTTAAAACCTCAACTCAGTGTTGCATTGTAAATATTGTAACATTTTACGATTGATTCGATTTGATAATGACGCATGACATAGACAAGCATGAGTTGCTATTCTCGATAATCACAATGATTATGATTAAAATCGGTTACTCGGTCAAATATAGGCTGGTGACAGCTGTGAATAAAATCACGCGAAGTACTTTAAAATTCCTTTTTTCTTTAGTTTCGATGGTTTATGAAAAAAATATCCAATATTAATTTTACGGACTATAGAGGCAGAAGGAGCTTAAGGAGGCCATACACGCTAGTATATGCATGATGGTTATAATTATAACTTTGCACGCAAAACCGACACACATACACGTTAGGTTTTGCATGTACATGCACCGATAAGTGTACGGTTTAGTCACATACACGCAGGGCTTGCCTGTCGTGCATGCATAAGCATGCACTGCTAAAACCATCATGCAAAACCTAGCGTGTATGGCCTCCTTTAAAATTGATAACAAATTCGTTATGACCACCATCAGAATCACTGATTCACTGACAAAACGGATGGAAATGGATTAATAGCCTGTAGCCAGATATCAACCTGTTTATAAAGGTATTACAATACGGTACTATACAATACTTAAAAAAATAGTATTCGTGAATACTTAAATGCGACATGTAAAAATATACCTAAATGAAAGTTCGATTCGATTCTAATTTCTAATACATTTTACGAAGTCTATTCGACTAACGGTTTAGTTGATTTGTGGTTGGTTGACGTCAAGTCAAGTCAATCTGATTCGTTTCACGACGTGACGTGTTTGTGCACTTTATTATTTCAGTTCAATCATCAGTTTAGTACTCAGAGATTATAGCGAAGTTATCTGTTGAGTTCAGCATAGTAATTTAATTAATTTTTGTGTCGCCTTCCAGCTGGAGTAATTAAGTTTACTATAAAGTAAACCTTGCCCCATCTTTTTGTAAGTCGTTTTGCGGTTTCTTTCGCCAATCCCATCAACATGAGCGGTGTACAAACAGGTATGATAATGTTTGTCTTTACCATTGTTTTTGTTATTCTTTGTAATGAGTAATTGTAATATTTGGTCGTAATATGTATTTTAGAATATTTCCTGGATTGAACAAAAAAGCTTTAACGTCTGAAATGCACCTATTTACTTTTTAGTCTAATTAGGTATCGTATGACTAAAGTTCTTATTGCGTACATAAAATATTATGCTTTTTACCTTTTCTGGAAAGGTTTTCAATATTTCTTGCTATTTTCAGTACAAAACATCTTTAGTTCCATAGGGAAAATCTAAATAATTGAAGTCATAGGTATTAATTAGTTAAATTAGTTATTTCAAAATTATGTGTAGGTAAGGTAGAAGTCCGATGTAGGTGTGATTAATACAATAATAACACTAATCATTGTCTTAAATGTAACCTCATTTCAAACAAGGTTAATTTAAAATGTTATTAGAAACCAATAAGAATAAATTTACCAAGTTCAATCCAGTCATGTGTGATAACTTTCCTAAAACTATTATCTGTTAATAAAATTGGTTTCATGATTTTCCTCAATATTTCCACTGCAGTTTCATAACTTTAAGTTGTTAATGACTCTGATGTATTTCATAGTACTTACATACTATGAAACATACTGTATTGATAAATATCTTAGGTAATGAAAGTTCACTACAATAATGAATATTATTTTCAAGAAAAATAGAGAAGTCACAAAAACAAAGAATGAGTAATAATGTAGTTGATCTGAACAATCATAACCTCAAGTATATAATTCACACTTATAGGTATTAATAAGTTGATACTTCACAATTTGTAACGTTGACATTATCTTATCTCATATCTGTCTGTGTCATTTAATGGTTGACTCATTCCTTTAAAGTAAAACCTAAATATGGTATATTGATTGTGTTTTTTTATGCTGAATTGCAAGATGTTTTGTAGGAATGCACTAGACTAAATTTACTGTCAATTTTATTTTAGTAATAGAATAATGGACTAGTGGTCATGGTCACTTTAAACATTCACAGATGTTGTGGCATGATATCAAACTGCTGTGATTACCATATTGTATGTCCCCCAACTAGGAACTCTCTTCCTTTATTTTTAACAAGTTTTAAATCTTCATTCAATGACCATTTGTCATCATCCATAACTGTCGGTGAATGAGAGTATGATTAACAAATATAATTATCTAACCAAAAATTATCAATTTCCAAATCAGATGTACTTCTTAATAATTCTATTATAAATTAAAACAATGGAAAATACCACTGTTATTATCCATGTTTATGTTAGCATGGTCCTGGTTATGAAATCAGTGTAGCAATAAAATCTATATTTATTCATCATTTGGTTCCTCAGATCTCTGATCCATATCTTATACATATGGGTTTTAAATATTTTGTTATTATGTTAGAATATTCTAAATATGACTTATTGTTCTACCTACATCTTTCTCAATTGTAACACTAACCAGGGAAATAAATTCTGCATAGCACTAGAAACAAAAAATCCATGTACCTCATGCTTGTAATGTGCTGTCCTCTGTAATATCTGTCTGCCTGTTGTATGGTGTACCTACATGAAATGATAAATAAATAAATAATAATAATTAAGCATTAACCTCTTGTATATAAGACAATAGAAAACACATTGTGTCTTGTTGTTCATTAACGGTTTTACTTTATTACCATGGTAATTAATTAATCAAATAAGATTAATTATCTCTGGGGTTTGGGTAGTGGTAGGGTAATATTCCAAGGCCTTTTTCTTTTGTAGAAAGCCCTTTCTCTATGTGTATTCAGAAATTAGGGTATATAAAATTATTGTTTTTATCCTATCCATAAGTATTATTGGGCATTTGGCCTTAGTTCACAGAATAATGAATTTTGTCTGAAACATTTTTTACAAGAGACAATGATATAAAGGTTGAAAGAAAGTTATAGGCGATGTTTTAGATAACTACATACTTAATATAAAAACCAATTGTCACATTTGCCTATTCTAGAATTGCGGAAGACTTAACGGGTTGCCGGGGCTCCGGTTCGAAGTGCAGGTGTAGGAACGGGGTGGTTTTTAGTCAGTAAGAGTCTGACACTCCCTCCCGCCTCACCCAGGCGGGAGAAGTCATTGGATGATTTTCACCCCTCAAAAAAAAAAAAAAAAGGGTCTGTTATAAGACCTATGACTCGTTCGTTGAACTCTTATTTTCGGGCGTCGTTAGATCCCTAATTTTCAAAATCTTAAAATATACAAACAGGAGGTACTTTTAAAGCTATTATTATGTCCTTTCTGATAGGACTAAGGTTTTTAAAAAGACACTAGCTCAGTACACAAAAAAATTGCTGGGTTGACTAGCTTTTTACAGAAACCTAATAAAACAAAATTATAAAAAATCAATCTTAAATCTAAGATTTTCTTGATGCCGACAATTTGATGTCGCCTTATGATGTCAGTTGCTTGAAGCAACGACATATAAACTCGTTGCGTAAATAGGTCAATGATGATAAATTCTAATGGTGCGGAATCCTGTACCGTGCTTTTTGTCGAAAATGCCGTCGGATTTCTTACCAACTGTTTGTGAATTAAGGACGTTTGAACCGGAAATTTCAATAGAACTATTAGGTAAAACTTCTTACTTAAAAAGATAGAACCACAGAGGACTAGGTAGGTCCGACTAGACGAGCAACATCCGAGAAGTTGTACGAAATCTCATCAAAAATCTAACATTTCCTATATATACGGACGTCGGACAAGTTATTTAAGGTAAGTAGTGAATGTTAAGTGTTGCCAATTATGACATTATACATATGTACGGCTATGTAGCCATGACACGTGGTCCTTAACCTGGCTTTGCTTGGCTGTGGTTTTTTGTAGAGGATGAAAGTCACCGAGCGAGCAATAGACGGAGATCTATCCTCGGAGTACCTTTTCGCGACGAAATCCGGAATGTCAACATTTTGAGAAGCAAACAAGTTTGCAAGTTGAAGTAACAAAAAGCAGGCTTCATCGTTAGAAGGACTGAGGGCTGATGGGCCGAAAAGTGGCCCAATGACATCTTTAGCGTCGCAAAAAACCATCAGATGTAGGTAGCGAATAGTTCCGACGCAGAGGACTAAGTACCTAGCAAAGACCTTTGTTCAACAGCTTTGTAGACGTCTTCCGGTTGATGATCATGAGTTACCAACTAAACTTCTTAGTTTCTAGTTTGTGACAAAAATGGTAAAAATAATAAATAAACAAAAGTAGGTAATGAACGAGAACTGTAACTTTTATTTGACAAATGAGGTAGCGTGTCGTCATTTTTCTCCTAATTGCTGCATTTGCAACAGAAAAGATTCTTGAACTTTAAGCTCCATCTTCGTGTCATATCTGATCTGAAATAACTATGTTACTTACACGTACAAATTGCATTTACTGAAAAACTTAGGAACATACAATAGTAGTTCTTTTTTTAAATCGTCTGTTAGTGAACTTCAGTTTCTCATGTTACCTAGAATAATGTTATATTTATAGATAACTTATAACACTATCAAAGAATTTACCAAATCTATTCTGGGAACCATTCTTGCAGACACAGTAAAAAAATGGATTTATATAAAAACTTTATTCAAAAATTTAAGTGGTCGTACCACCTGTGAGTCATTTGTCGTGCAAACTACAGGCTTTTTTAGAGTATTTCATCAAGTAACCAATGACGCAACACTACCATGTCCCAGCGACCGCGCCACTCGCTCGCTCGCCTGCGGCACTGTCAATAAACTTTAGCGGCACAAGGTGAGCTAAATCTATGGTTTTGTTATTTTGTTAGGCTCTTTGAAACAAGTTGGTTGGTCACAAACCCTGCGGTACAAATTTAACTGATTCCGGGCTTGTTAAAATAAGCTCTTCCAAGTTTATAAATTTTGCAAATGTTTTGGAGGTCAAAATTGTAATTTATACACCAACTGAGACCGGAGCTCGCGTTATTGGTGAAAGTGGCGAACACGAGCAATCAGGCAGCGGCGCGAAACGAACGCGAGCTGGTTCGCTTGGAGGGGTTCGACGTGGCGGAAGAAACTGACATCATTGCGCGCCGACGGTGCACGCATTCATGTTTCTCGAGTCGATCGTGATTATTCCGAAAAAAAAAACAATGTTTGTAAAGTGACAGTAACTAACAACTTATTTATAATGTAGAGTTTGTACACAAACAAGTGATCTCGGTATTCTGCCAAGGTGCTTATTTCAGTGTGATACCCATATGGACAATTAGCTTTGGATTATATGATTAGTTAAATATAAAATAATTATGCTTCATTGTCGCGGAAGACGAGGCAGATAGAATGGCAAGTGATGGAACGGCGAACATCGGCGTGGAGCCGACGAGCCTGGAGTATATGGAGGACCCTTATTTTGTGCCACCTGACGATGACTCCACGCCGAGTTTCGATGTAGCCGTAGATGAACTAGATGAACTGGAGGAGTTACCAAACTGGCCACACAACGACCCTGACGCTGACTGGCGCATGCTCCCTGACCTTGCTGATTCTGCTCTGTGCATTGAAACAGAATTCTACGTAGATAATCGACGTCGTCGTCTTAGAATATTTAGAAAAAAAATGCGAGAAGTACGAGTTACTTTTCAAGATTTATCAAAGCCCTATCTTGCCAAGATGTCCAGTCATACAAACTACAAGAAATTCTTAGGTATCGCAGTTGGAGGTTAGTTTAAAAAAGGTTTTTTTTTACTAATTAATGAAATTTTTAACACATAAAACTAAAATAACTACTCGAAGGCGTGTGTAAACGACATTCACTTGAAAATGACGTATGAGTAGAGTAATGAAACTATATGATAGGTACCTACACAATACTACACATAATATACAAGTACTGAGCTGATTAAATTCTTGATTCAAGTTATGCAAGAATTTAAATTTAATACTGTGTTAAACTGTGTTTATGTTTCTTAGTCACTACTTTTGCGCTTTTTGTAAGTAATATCGTTTTTTCGTTGAACCCACCGTCACCCAATGTTTACGTATAAAGACAGATCTTGCAATTTTGAAATAGTAATTGGTCAACGAGACCCAGGCTCTTCGCAATATCGTCGCGCAATTCGCAACTGTAAGAGATTTTATCAATATTGTATCTGTTTTGAAATTAAGCCTTTAACTGCCGACAAAACTGCTAAAGGCTAATCCTCGCTAGAGTGGGTCCAATGTGTTTTAATTTGTCAATGGCTTCACCTCATTGGATATATAGGCACCGTTAGATCCTATCAGTTCCTGACCACGTAATATGTTTGATGCTTTAAAAGCTTTTAGCCAACGGAAGTTCTCATTATACATGAGTATAAAACGGCCTCAGTAAGTAGGTATAACTAGCAAAATTTATACGAGCATCTGGTTTCTCAACGGTTAATTTTAGTTGCAAAGATATTCATAAATGTTAGACAGTGAACTATACTGAATTTAAATATCCTTTCTTTTGATATTGCTGACGATGATTTATAATATACCACAAAAATGTCGTAGAAAATTCACTTCGCAATGTAATTAGTCCTGATTTTATGAACGTGCGTGATTTTTATAAGCAGAATGTTGACCCTGCTTTTATTTGTAAACGTGATCGATACGTCATTAAGCTATTAATTAAATAATGTGTAAACAATGAAAAACAGTTTATTTACGAATTCGACTGCGTTGTTGGTCACTGTCATGTCACCAGTCACTTCAGTGACACTTCAGTATCGCTTCAGCGTTAAAGGGTTTCAGTTGCCGAAATAAGTACCTATTATATTAGGATAGAAAATTGACAGTAATAACTAATAATTATTATATCTGGATTATTATGTGCATTGTGGACCTCTTGTCTATCCCCTGCGGAAATAAAATGTTTAATTTATGTAATTACGGTTACCATATTAACTGAAGGAAATGAGTCTACATCATCTACTTTTTCAATAAAAAGTTTTGATAATTCATTGTCATGAACGAATAAATTATTTTCTTTGTGAAAAATATTATAGGGTGTTCGTTCAATTCAAACAACATACCTTACTTGTACGATTGTTAGCGCTATAAACTTATTTTTTTAAACCGCCTGGTTTTATCAACACTGTTTCATCATTACAGGATATAACACGGGATGAACCTGATATGCTACATAACAAAACCTACATACATTATAAATACTTTATAAACCTTTGTACCTATTTATTTTAATAAACGTTTTATTACTCAAATAAATAGTTAAAAATTTCGAATTCGGGTGGTTCTAAAGACAGTTTGGCAACAATCGAAACATCCATTACTGCCCGGCTTTGGTAATCATACATTTCAGAAATGAATATATGCCAAGAGTTGAATGTGGCAATGTATAATTCTTTTATTGTATTGCGTAACTTTGCTTTCTACGTACAAACTACTGATCTACGAGTACAACAAATATCTAGCAAGCGTCGTGCTATGCTAGTTTAGATTCATATTATGTTTAAGGAAGTTTTATTTTTTCAGTATTACGATATTATTATTCATTCGAATTTGTTATTTTCCCTAAATGAAAGACATTGTATCAGCTGTTATGTTCCATTGAAAATTATAGGAGTATTCGAATATTTTTCATGAGATAAGCAAACATGCAAGATTAATATTTGTCGATATCATAGTCAAATTACTTAATTGAAAATTCATGTGGATAAGTACAGAATAGCCTTTTCAAACTTCTGCGAATCCAAAGAATATAAATAACTAGTACATTTCTTAATAAAATTGTAGTTGTAAGATGCGGTCCCCACATACCTTAGAATAGTAGGTACTAGAACCATAAGAACTAAAGACTATCGTGTCAATATAAGGACTTTCAAATGGACTAACGCATAACTACAATTCTCGAATTTACTACTATTATAGGTATGATATTTTTTATAATAATGGATACAGAGAAGAAAGGTTTGTGTACGAATTTTGAAGGCCGCTTAAAACCTTTTTATTTAATGACCGACCGTACAGTTTCACAACTGAAAGTTGCAAATTTTTGCCTAACTACTAATTTGCGTCTTGCTTAGTAGCACTCTGTCCGTCATTGTAAGAAGTCCTACTTAGGATTAAGAACTTGTATATAGTCTTGAATACTCGGTAGTGATTTCTATTTTAGTACACATAATCTAGTATATATGCCTTGTTATTTTTCTTGATAAATAGACCTTATCACTTTACTGAGTCATCTGCTTCTTCTTGGTCTAGAAAATACTAGGTATGTATGATAAATACAATTTTAAATTGTCACCGAATATAAATATAGTATAGTTGACGTAATTCATTTATTTATAATACTTCCGACTATTGCAAGTCTATTAATCATAAACGCGTCGGTTCCCTATTGATTAATTTCTGGTAAATAGTCTTTAGTTTAAAATAAGTTTTTATAGTTTACTTTTTTATATTAGTAATCTTATCCCCTACTATTACCACGGATGGGGCCCAATAGGGCTGATGCCGATACGGAGCCGCGGAGAGCCTAACGGGTTACCGGGGCTCATGCTCGAAGTGCAGGAGTAGGGACAGGGTGGTTTTTAGTCAGTTAAAGTCTGACACCCCCTCCCGCCTCACCCAGACGGGAGAAGATCCGATTCCATTCGATGAATTACCCCTCTTAAAAAAACCCCCTATTATTAGGTATGTACGTTACATAGGATTCATAACATACGACTGACAAAATGTGTCATGTTATATTGGTTTTGTATGTAAGTAATATACCTCTGTTTGTCATCAGCTGAAGAAGCAATGCCCACAACCGGCGCAGCTGGTGACGCGCACACGCCTGACGAGCTGGCAGGACTGACTCCTGAGCAGGCGGAGCAACTCCGCGCCGAGTGGAGCCGGGAACTCGCTCGCGTCGAAGATGAGATCGCTACACTGCGCACCGTTTTGCAAAGCAAGGTATTTTTTATTTATGATGACATAGTTTGTAATTAGCCCAAATCAGTCATGGAACCTTAGAATATAATAATAATTAATCCCTAAAAGCCTCGATATCCATCTTAGGAGGCTGGCGTTAGGTGGATGGATCAAGGGCCTGATACAGAAGGCAGTTCTCCCAGAATTTAAATTTTTATTAAAAAAAAAAAAAATCTGCTGCTAATCCTCTTACACCATACGACTTTTATGTTTGCACTTCTTTTGTTACCGATTCGTTTCAGTCGTCATCGTCACTCAAAACGAAGAAGTTTTTAGCAAAACATAAAAACAATGTAATTTATTATTTTATTTTTCTAGATCCGCCAAAGCTCCGAATTAAAACGAAAACTTGGCATAACCGTGTGGAAAGAAATTACCGAAGATGTTAATCAGGGTTTGAAAAATGTGAAAGAAAGCCAAGTGTAAGTAGCAACTTTGCCCATTAGCATTAATGTGTCACTTTCTTACATTCAAGTTTGTTTTTTTTTTCTCGAGGGTTAGAACAATTTCTTGATGTTTTGTAGAGGTGTGCGGCCTAGCTTCTCATTATAATTTTGCTTAAGCTTGCAATTGGTGGCGATTTATTTAGTACTATTTTATTTCACGTTTGATTTGTTGTATGACAGCTATCAAACTATAGAAACACGCGTGGCTGCGCTTACACAGGCTGTGACAGAAGCACCAATGTAAGTAAAGTTGACAATTTGGACAAATAGTTACTTGCTGCACCTAACGAAGTATTTAATCTGATCGATGTAGAGTAATGCATGGGTGTAGTTGCACTGACGTTGTATTTTACTGCAAAAATATTTAGCTTTCATAGCTTTACTTATTTTATTCGTAGAGTAGTATCCACCTATATTTTTTTTAATAACCTTTTATTTATTATTATTTTTCTACAGTTCTAACCCGAAAGAAAATTGTTAACTTTATTTATTACAGATATCGTATTGTCGCTCTCGTATCACCGTATTCTTGTAACGCCCATTCATTCATCTGTTGATAACATTTGAAGTAACTCCTTTAAGTAATTTGCCAAAACTGGACTAACAATGAGTATGAATCTTATACATGTATCTAATTAATATAGTCTTTCGGCTCCTTTTTTGCACCGAAAATTTGTATTTACATTTATGCCAGTCGCTAACTTAGGCAGGTACCTACTCGTACTATCATATTGTGTATTGGATATCTAGGTAATGGACAAGACACAATTATTTGCCATAAAGAAAATAGAGACATTGCAACGGCATAAATATTTCTTAGATATTCTATTTGAAGATGGAAGTATGCGCCGTAGTGAGAAAATCTGTATTGTATATATGTGCGCTGTAATGAACGATGATGTCACAAGTCGTGTTGTGTAACACGAACCGTGACGTGCAGCTATTCCATATAACTTACTCACACAGCAAGTATTCCCATTCGACCTAAATAGTCTTTCTAATGTTGGTTCCTACATCCTAAACAAACACAGGTCTTCCTCCCTTTTAACAAAAATGAGGTTTGAAATTAATTATTATCCGATGCTAATCTGTATGTTTCTATGTAAAAAAAGGATACATACAAAATGTCTTATTACTAAATATCGCACGAAAGCATCATTGACAAAATGTTTAAATGCCAGAGATCTTATAAAACACAAAAATATACTTTGTTATACCTCTCATCTAATGAAAGAGTGATGTCGACCGATTGATAGACTTTTTGCACCTAATAACAATGATTGCTTTTTAGATACCAAAAAACTGAATCTGTGATAAAATCGACTGCAGAGAAGACAACTTCGATTATCGGTGGTATCACTGCAGGAATGTCCACAAAGATTGGTCAGATGCGAAACTCCGAATCGTTCCGCTCTATTGAAGAACGTGTTGGCACGGCGTACGAAAATGTTAAGGTAACACAAAAATGTTATTGAAAATCTATTATCTACTAAACACGAATTCATTAACTACATTTATTTGGGATTTTTATAATATACGAGATGATAATAAAGCAATAAGGAAGTGCCTAAATTAAAACATCAATCACTTTGTTGATTCGTTGCGGTTAGTGTGCTGAAAATAAAAGTTTAATTTGAAGATCAACATTAAAATCGTATTTACTAACGGTCTTTCAATATTGTGAAAGTCATTAATTAATTGTTTTATGTTTCAGGGCAAAGTGTCTTCTCGATCGAATTCAACGCAAAGTTTCGACGAAGCGCTGCGCGACGCCAGCCGCACGGCTAGCGGCGCCACGTCGCCCACCATCCCCGAGAACAAGGCCTTGCCCTAAGCGCGCCGCAGCCGACCCAGCCGACGCAGCCACGCCGCCAACTAACTACACACGTACACTCGTACACTCGTGTCGGGCGCCCACAATATCGGCATCTATTGGCACTAACAACTTTCGAATGGGGATATTGCATACATTATTTATTGTGATGCACCTTGTTTGATAAAAAGAATACCCTTTTATATGTGCTCTTAGATAGTATTTTAAATTATGTACTTATAAATAATGTTTATTGTACGTGTCGGACGGTGATAACGCATGTTTATTAATAAGGCTATTGAATATTATCGTTTAATTGGATATTGGTTTGGGAGAGTCGATTAAATTAAAACCACGAAAAGTGATGAAATTGCAATTTTGATTTCGCAAAAAGCAAAACCTAAATACGTGCAATGCTAGATGGTTAGTTATCTTAAAGATTGTTTGTGAATGTGTATCTCGAATGCTTTCATTTCATGTGCACCTTTGTTGCACTGCGGCGTGGTCGAGTCCTTTAATCGTTTATTTTAAGACTGCTGGTTACATGCTTCATATTATATTCTTGTCTTGTTCATTTTGTGTCTTATGTAAAGCATTCCAAACGGTTACTGATTGATGATACAAGGTATTAAAAAACATTTTGAAAAAGTTTATTCAATGCTTAAACTCAGTATTTCTATGTATGAAGGGAATGAGTCAATATATTCATATTAAAAAACATGTAAACACAATTTTGTAAATCCTTATTACATGTAATGATTGTAAGACACAATAACTTGCCGATGCCTGTTAGGTCCATTATTACTATAAAAATGATATTTTTGTAAGATGCTTAGCTTTCCTTACTTATGAAAAATCAACTATTTACAATGCCTCTAAAGACGGTAAATAAAATTTATGTATTGAAATGTTTCTTTTTATTCATAGATCCTTTTCTTGACCTTTAGTATTGTAATGTAAATTACAATATTATAGTAAGAATTCAAGTGGGTCCAATCTTCAGTCAAGGCCATTCCTACCCTGTCCATCAATAAGTAAATATCTTAGGGGTTGCAAAACTACGGGAGACTTCGAAACTCTGTTATTTTTGCTAAGACCAAGTTTATGAGGTATTTTTGTTAATAATAGACGAAAGATCATGTATTCCTTCCTGACAAGAAAGTGTAAGTGCATTTATCAAATCTCAAACTTAACGAATATTTAATCATTTCCGAGAATAAGAGTGAATAGATAGTTTGTTTAAAATCTTAAATTATCTCAAAATTCTTTCATGAACCTGCCGTAAAGTTGTATTTGCTATTGAGACGGACAAATATTAAAACTGAAATAAAAAGCATTTTAAGGGTAGAGAACATTTAATTACACAATAGTAAATATAACGCAAATTGAGCGCTACTTCACAAATATTACATACATTCCGACGTACCATAACTCGTGTTTACCCTGCACGAAGAAATTTGAATCTATTTATCATCTATGAAAAAATGGAAACCCTACTTGAAGACATCATGATAAAAATGTGTCATTGGAGTCATATTATGTGAGTACGAAGCATAGTCTGTTTATAAAATAATTAACAACTAATGTTTTCCAAACAAACACAAGCAATGGATTATAACCTAAGAATTGTAGCTACCCACATAACTGTAAACCTGACAAGCAAATTAGGGTACCAACTAACTCGAGATCCGAGATGGTAAGCCTAGTGATGGCATTAGTTAAATATTATTAGAATTCGATAGAACATCAGCTTGTACAAAATTGTTATTTAAACATTACCAAGCTTACATTTACTTGTGTAGCTACACTAAAGTATATAGCGAAGCAACTTATATTTTAAAATAATGAAGGACAAACAAAGCAGTTATTGCATTAAATCACTTTGTTCATACTTCGACTACAATAATAATAAAAAACAAACATATAATTGAAATTTAATAATATACAAAATATAGTGAATATAATAATATTGAAAGTGCGGGGATGACATCGGACATAATACAGTAAACTGGCTACATTGCTCACATACAGCTAGGTTATTAGCGATATTATAATTATCTACTCTAAGTAATATAATTACTTAAATTGATGTTGGGCGAATTTTGCGATCTGCGTGGTAGCGTACCGATAGATTCTACCGCGCTTTAATCTAAAGCTTATAAATAGGTAATAAACATATTCTTATAAAATTTGACTGTTTTTAATTTGTGCTCAAGATTTAAGACGCAGACGAAAATCCGACGCCAGGCACACGGACTTACTAAGTAAATTCAGTTGTTGATATAGAGGATACCGACTCCTGTACCACTGCTTCTATGTATTATAAAAACTAGTTGTATGTTGATCCTGTAAATATGTATATTTACTATCTTAATCGATTACACTAAGCAATTACTAATTATTTTCTCCTTTTTTTAAAGCAATAGAGCTTACTCGCTAAGACTAAACTACTATACCTGTGAAACGATCAACAATAATAGATAATTTGGAGTACAGTTAATACCTGGCATCAGTTACAATGTTTGAGTACTTAGTTACTTGTTATTGCTTAATGATTGGTTGCATATTATGGCAACATACATATTTGGTTCTATTTAAGTTATGTAAATATTAAATTCGTACCGCTTTTTATTATGTATTAAACCCACGCAAAAATATTATCCTAAGTCAACCAAAAACTAATTTTTAAGAGTTTAAAATGCTATGAATAAAAACAAATATTTGTAGTAAAGACAGCTTAGTAAACCAATACAAATTTATATTTTTCATTTATTTTTGGAAACAGATCGAATCTAATATTACATAACTAACAATAGGACCATTAACATACCTTACAAATTACAGAATCATTATCCCTTGTTTATAAGTTTAGTATAGCTTATTACAAAATAAATCTTATATTTAATTTAATCGCATCCTATTTTAGTTAATTAGTAATGTGCATTGTAAAATTCTAGACACACATGCCACGTATTCAGGCATAAAGTAACAAGAATAGAACAAATATGACAACTATAAAATAAAGCTTCTTATGACATAAGTGAACTGTCTTAGTGTTACGTTATGGACTCTAGTTTCCTCTTTTAATATTATAAATAGTTATTTGATCACACACTGATGCAAACCAGTGCTTAAAGGCAACATATAAGTTCTTTTAGATATCATAGACTTCTAGAGGCCATAGAACAAACAAAACTTAAGCCTTATTGTAAAACATATAAATATTCCAGCAACCAATAAATGTTTATTAACAACTGAGCTCTACGGGTCAAAGTAGCTGTATTTCTTTGGATTTCAATTTAGAAAATTAAATGTAAACTTTTATTTGATCTAATATTTTATCACTTAACATGGATTTCCGACTTCCAGCATATTGTTATTTGTGTAAACTAATCACTAATCATAAAATACTTAATAATTTTATTATACAAAATATATATGTGTGTATATCGAATAACATTTATTAAACAAATTAAATAAAGCATTTAAATAACTAATTTATTAATAAAGCCGGCCTTGATTTTATAACCTAGAGACACATTTCGAGAGAACAAATTACATTCACTTGACATCATAATATGATACTTGATTCCATATTAATAATAGGGATAATGACTAATGCCTATATTTGTCCGGAACACGTATTATTCTGTTTTCACGTTGTCAATAAATTGTGAGAGATAAATTCAGTCGAATTACATGACGTCACGTCTCTGTATATTATATACTAAGCTGTAACGTGCCGACTGCCAACCAATACTTTATTAATTACAGTGGTTTTGGACGTGTTCTTTTGTTCCAAATCAAAGATTTTGTTTTTTCATATCGTCAATATCCCCATTAAAAACAACTCTACAAATACACACATATTTACTTACATTAATATTTTTTATGATTGGTGTTATTAGGTAATGTTACATAGTATGTCTTTTCTGACATTGGTCTCTATAATCTTACCAAAGTTATTTGGTTCAAAGTTTGATAATAATTATGGTATTAAATATTGCCGCATAGAAAACCGCATTTCATATAATGTTTGTATGATTGTATAAGTATAACGTGTATTATAAAATAGTTGTCGCCCTACTAAATTTACTTTCCACTCGTTAAGCGTATTAGTTTCTTGTGACTACAAACGGCGCTATATAACAAAACAATTCATTTCATATATATATACTTATATTGGTTGTATACATAGTTATATCAATAAAAAAATACGAGAGATATAACAGGGTCTTTAGCCAAACGCCACTTTAGCGCTTGTCTACAGAGAGAGTAGAAATCAAAATGTATGGGGATGACACTGACAAGTGTTAAAATTTTACGTCGATTCCATATAATTTGGTTTTCTACTCTACATGTAGACAAGCGCTAAATGGCATTTGGCTACAACTGCAGATTAGAAGCTAGCCGGGCGGATGTATGGCAGTAGCTAACTCGTCCGAGGGTCAATTCAATATACTATAAGATTGTTTGTGACCTATTGCTACATAATATATGAAACGATCTGCTTTGGTATAGTATGTTCCTGTTCCTCTCTGAGAAATTTTATTGTTATTAAATCAAATGAAATATGCTTTAGAGATCTCATAGATACATGCAAACATTTTTATTAACAAAACTATTGTAATATTTTTGGCTTTTAAAACATAGCCCCATCTTCTGAAACATATTACAAATCTGTCTTAAATAAATAATAGTGATACATAGATAACATACATATGTAAAGTATTAATTAAAAGTAATGCACTTTCATATACGAAAGATTTAAATCTTTTTGTTTTTTCTCTTTCCTATTTTTTATGTATGGACATATTAATCCTAAATGAAATGAAATTTTTATACAAATCAACACTAGCAAAGTGTTGGTTAACACATAAAAAAAAAAGATATTGAAAAGAATTTCCGCAAATAAATATTGCTTGGAAATGATGATTTGAACAAGAACACATAAAACACGGTGTACACATAATACTATTGTTTACTAAGCTCTGGCCCCATGCCGTCACACAGATTTGCTGGGCTAGTCTTTGGAGAGAATGAATTTAACTTTGGAAGTTATGTATTACAATCCTTCTACAAAGTCTCAAAAAGGCCTTTGGCATTCCCACGACTTTTATGTCCACTTAAATAAAATATTAATCGACTAGTTTAAGTAATGAGTAGAAAAGCGATAGTGAACACATTGTTATAGTACTGAAAAAATGTAAGTACTTCGAAAGAACCGAAATGAAAAAAAAAAACATTTAATTTAATTGATTTGTGCACAGCCCTTGGTTGGACGACTAAAGCTGACATAAATCTGGATTGAAGCTGATAATTGCATGAAAAACATCAAAATTAGCCGAAATTCTACCAACCAATCAACTTCGTATAAATACCAACATAACGAAATACGAAAATAGAAAAAAGATTAATAGGAAATTACTTCAACTCTAATTTTTAGAAAATCTGGTAAGTATTATATGTAAGTTTGAATATATCTTCAAAATATTCACAACAAAAAGAGATACAAGAATTAAGTAGGTAAAACTTTAACTAAATGATGTAAAAGTGCCAAAGAATCGTAAAGGGTACCTACAATAATTAAGAATTATGACGCAAAATCGTAGCCGCCCAAATTTATAATCATCAAACATAATGTATAAAGATTGCGCAGATGGAGCTCCTTCATACAAAATATGAATCATGACAAATGTTCGCACAATGTACGCGGTCTTTATTAGTTTGGGAATCGCGCGTATAGACATTTTGCTACCAAAAACCACTTACATACGACAACTTAACTAAAGTTTAAAGCACGTTGTATACAATTTAAGATGAAATGTTACCCAAAAGCTGCGCTAGTCATTTGCGCATGAAAGCATCAATACTTTTTTAAATCAAAGACGTAATTTGGATGGATCTTTAGAAAATATATCCGAGCTGCAAACCTATTTTAATAAAACATTTTCCACAAGAACTTCACGTAAAATATACACAAATGAGAAAGCTATCTATTTGAAATAAAGGCGTCAACTGTGTGTGTGCTGGTTACATAATACCTACTTAATAAACTACAACCGATGTGACATTTCTTGAAATGCTCAATAATATTATAACAGCACTTCTTTAAAGGATGACTTTTCTAATTGTTATTTAGACTGCAGTTAAGCCTATGTAAGCTTATTACATAAAACAAAATTAAAAACTAAACTCGTTTATTGTCAACACTACCCCATTTTTATCTGTTTGATTGTGTAGCTGGTATCGAATATTCGTCATTTTATTTTCACCTTATAATAGTCTTGAAACTTGAAATGAGAGCATTCTGAACGCCACGTAAAAAGGGGCAGAGTTAGTAAAAAGAAAAGATAGTTCAATAAACAATAAAGTTTATTCTTATAAAACTTTAAGCGACTGGGTGTTTAACTTTGAAAATTATATCATAATAATCATTACAATTGCGACAAATAATGTTTATCAACTACAAGAGGGCTGATTCTCACTATAAAGAGCTTATCGTACATGATATGATGCGACAGATAGAATTTAAAAGAAACACCATCATAATAAGACAGAAGATGTATATTAAAAACCTATTACCCAAGTTTCCTACTTGCATCACTTGCATGATCACTATGCATTATTTTCGATTTTATATTGTTAATGTATAACAACGATCCTGAACATATTCGTATTAATGTATCACACCTAGCATCACAACGTCATTTAATATAAAATACATTTATATCCGATATTTTTAGCAGCTTGTCCACTTAAAAGATAACCGGGCGATTATTTACTTTGACACAACTTATTTCCACGAAAAAGCAATCTGAGTGTACTATATTAATAATATTATGTTAGAATTGAATTAATGAACATGAATTCATATGAAATCATTAAATTCGCTGTATATAGAATATGGCATTTCATGCGATATAGTGTGTCTATGTAACTATTTCGTACAAATAAGTAAAGTAAATAAGAGTCCGATTATCCGTGAGAATTACGAACTACACAAATTGCATGTAAATGCGTCTATTGAGACAAAATAACACTGACATACGACCAATTGAAACACCAAAAGCATAATTTATGATAAAAAAGATGTTTATTAACTTTCACACTAATTACAAATAAAAACATTGTCACCAACCCTTAAAGTCAGGACATACATTCTTCCCAACTTTTAGTTGATTAAACTTAAAGCTAAAATACAATATAAAAGAACTCTTACTTTAAAAAATAAACTTAAAAATGTAAAATAAAAATATCATTCTTTACACTGATAGTAAGATTGGTTGTCTGTTTATAATAATTTGTTTTATATACATAGTGTATGTGTTTGTGTGAAATTCATTGAATTAATGTGCATAAATTATAAACGAAGCATTGAAAATAAAATAGGTACTTATATACTGAACTCATAATATATTCAAATGAATGATAATGTAAATAATTGAAAAATAAATACATATTATTATATCCTTAGTACACCTAATGAGGACTATTTGGCGTTACTGCTTAATACTACTAACTGATTAATGTTGCATCATCATGTAAAGACTACAGATTAATGAAAAACAGTGGATACTTATTTGTGTGATACCACAATAATTTAGATCATTACAAAATAGGAATCTACTATTTAAATTCACTATCAAAATCTTCGCAAAGCAAATAATCCTCTATCAAGTGTTCCTATTTCGTTACACTTCAGTGTTGCTTTGTATGATGTTCACTTCTTTATTAAGCTACGCTTGAAATTAACCAGCTATGTTTACGAGAAAAACCTTTTTTGTGAATGTATTTTACTGTAGACCTATTTATAAATTTCATAAAATATATTTATTTGAATGTCTGTCTATAACTGTCACTAACTTTTTTAGTTTCATATAAGGATAAAATATCCACTTATTAAATTAATCGCACTTCTTTGTTTTATTTAGAAAGCTTAAGTTGAATTCTACAAATGCTTCTTAGAAGATAGTAAATAGCCCAGTCAACGGATGGCCAATTAGGAAACACTACGCATTACACGCATGAGGTAATATTTATTGCTCTCCTCCGATTATTATTATACTTATACATCAAATAATTGTCAACGATTTATTTCGATTGTTCCATCACTATCAAAACTTCATAGAATTGAAACGTCTTTTATATTGGGACAGCTATCTTCGTAAAAGCTAAACAACATTTATAAAATTAGACTATATGAAACGCGAGTGGGGCCATTCAGAACCTGGTAGAAACGGTTGGCGTTATATACAAGAACAAACCAGAAAATAGGCGGAGTTCTATCTCAAAACATGAAGACCTCACAGGGTCACTCCCAGCTTCGGGAAATTGCTGCACGAACCGGAGAAGGGAATGACAACGACAATCGAACGCGTTTACATACGAGATCTTCGTGCGGAGATAATATTTTAAAGTATAGAGAAGCCCCAGAAATTTCGCACGCTCGACTAACATTACCTGGTAGGTGCGGCGTGCGGTTAGGCGAAGTACATGACCTTCTTGGTGACGGCGTGCACGGTGATGGCGCGCGCCATGGCGATGGGCGTGCGGTCCTCGCTGCAGGCCGACTGGTGGCTGCCCTCGCCCGAGTCGTGCTCCTTCTCCACCAGGTGGTAGCGCGCGCGGAAGGCCACGAGGTGCGCGTAGTACGCGGGCGCCGGGATCGACACCGAGCGCGTGCAGCGCACGTACGTGTGGCACAGCTGGTACGTCAGGCACTGCAGCTCGTCCGACCCGAAGTGGTTGTCGTCCCACAGCACGTGGTAGTGCGACGGACGCGACGTGCCCTGCCACAACACGAAGTTAGCACACGCGGACCCAATCATAAACAACTACGTTACTAATAAAACTTACTCAGACTAAGTGATCAGTTTGATGTGCTAGTCTGTTTTTTAATAGTACACCTTATGAACGAGTTCTTTCTAGTACATCAAGCATTGTAAATAAATATGTAAAAAAACTTACTTGAATTCCTTGATGACTGCATAGATAGAAATCGAACTCAGTCGGATGCGTGATGCCGAGGTCGACGGTAGTGCCTGCGGGAATATTTCCAGATTTGCCCGACTGCTCCTTTTTGTCAGCGCAGAATAGTCGCGTATGGTGCCGTTTTTGCACCACAATAAACGTGATTCCCGGCTTGTACTCCGCCTCCAACTGTCGCAATCACAAAAAAATGAATCGGAGGTTAGGACACCATAAATCAGAATAAAACAAATATGACAGGTAAATTTGATGAAAATAATTTAAAAAAATGTTACCTTGATACAAGCTTCTCGGACAGCAGTGAGTTCGTGTTGCAAGACGTGTAGGAACTGTCCCTCGGAGATGCCGTCCCGGTACATAATGATACGATGCGGCTTGAACCCGCCGGTGCTCTTGTAGAACATGATGAGTAGCTCCTGCACCATGCTGCTCATTTCGTGCACTATCTCTTGCCTGGAAAGTTGCATATGTCATGATCAGGTTACACGTTATCTATACTTACTTTAATTGCTTCTGTCTATAACTGCTTAAGGACAAATGCAACAACATATTTTATATCTAAAAAGCATAGAAAAATTAAAGGTAACATGAGAGAAAAAAATAAAAGAAAAAAAAATACAAATAATTGTTCAATCCGAAATTTAGATTAATATAAAGTATTTCGGATGCAGTGACATTTTTAAGTATTTATTGCGGCTGATTCGGTGCAGGCAGGGAATGCGCACAATTAATGGTTTAACTGTAGACTTACTTACTATCTTGATAGTCAAGTCCAGTCAAGTAATTAAATATATAGGTAATTAATTATTATTTTAATTTATAAACGAGTGCACACACTGTTTATGATGGTTGGACAAAAGTTTAAATTTTGAATCCATGGCACTTTTCCTTCACACCGCACTTAATTTTAATTAGGTATGATGGCAGAATGAGGACAACATTATAACCAAAAGGGAATCGTGTCCCCAATCAGAATATTTTATCGACCGATCAATATAGATTGATTAATGTGCGCACTCCCATTATGTTCGTTTATGTCTGTTTACGATGTCACGATAATATTTCCGCCTATTCTGTAAATGAATCTCAAATATTTTGAGATTTTCTAGCAACATACGAGTTGGTTTGATTACAAATATCGGCCGATAAAAAATGTTCAGTGTGCACACTCCATAATACGGCCCATCTACTTACTTATAGAACCCTAACGGTGAGTCGGTGCAACTTGCACACTTGCCCTCGCTTGTCATTGGCGAGAGCAGTGGAGGTGTGATGAGCGAAGCGAAAGGGAAAAATAAAAAAAAAACAGCGTAAGTGCGTCTCCGTACTATGCCTGATCCGAATCCGAGATAAAATGGACCGAAGTGGCCATTGGACCGTGCCTCATTTTAACCAATGCGTTAGCAAATTTATAGAATTTCTACAAGGACAATCAATACAACGTCTGAACTATTAACATTTTCTCGGGCCATATTGTCTTGGAATCGGATCAGACGCAGTACATAAACGCAAACTGTAAAATCGCGAAACAATTTGAAATCACGATTTACTTGTAGGTACACTGTACACTCGCCACTGCGATGGACGTACCTATCTATTTCAATTTTGATGTTATATTATTAACACTTGCAGCTTGTTTTATTTTTATACGACACGTGCTTGCGTAATGCGATTAATACCAACAATTTTCTCTGATTATTTATCAAGGTTTCACAAGGTTTTCAGGCAAGCGCACGGTCTATAAAGTGGTAGTAAGTGTATTTTTATAAGATTTGGAAAGACCTTTATTTGTGCATGCAAAATTAAACATCACGCAAAGGTATACCTACATACAAATAAATGTTTCGCAACATAACTAGAATGCAGTCATACTTAAATGAAACAAAATGGCTATCATATTTAGGTGAAGTAATAATTAACATAAAACAAAGATTTTGTCAACTTTTTAACATGTATCGTGGGAGGTCATGCCGACATAACCCAGAGCTAGGCGAGTACCTGTGTTGCTGCACCCGCACGGTGGCGGCGTACCGCGAGGGGTGCGCGTCCATGGAGCCCACCACGGCCGCGATGGACGGCTTCTTGTTGTCGCCCGCCGGCGGGTGCGTCACGTCCACGCCCAGGAATATCACCGGCTCGTTGAACACCTGCACCCGACACACATACATCACATTATGTTTATTCCCTGATACTCGAACTTCACAAAAGAAACAGGTTTTCAGCATTCACTTTATTGGACTGAGTCCAAAACAGGTGCATCCTACAGGTTTCATTCAACAGGTTCATCCCAAACAAAAGCAACATCAGGTTACTTCAGCAGTTTTATAGCAAGCCAGGAACTAAGTTACTTTTGAACAATTGCAATTGAAACATCGCTGATGTCTTGCTATAATAATTGTATAATATATGTTATGTAAACGCTAGCAAAACTGCCTGCACTTTGTAATAGTAAATTGCCATATATGCGTCAGGAAAACATACATATGGATATCTGTTCTTAAATTGTTGTATTTTTTTTTAAATAAAGCATTGCCCCACAATAGGATTTTCTCCTGTGTCGTGGGTGCGTTTACAAACATACAGGTTCACATACACATTACACCCAGACCCGGAACAACAATCTGTGGATCACACAGAGTTGTTCCGTGCGGGAATCGAACTCGCGACACGTTACGCGGCAATCAGTTGCCCAAACACCGCGCCAACCGTGCAGTCGGATATTGAATAATTGTGTCCGTGTCTCCAAATTAACCAATATACCTTAGGACGAAGTGATGGCACCAGGATAGAGTTAATGCCGCCAAGTTTGACGTTAATCTTCAGGCACAAATTGCTTAGGGTCTGTGGCGAAGTTTTGTTCACGTTCTTTGCTTGAACACACTGTGTTGCCATCCCTAATACGGTATCTCCCACACGTTTCACTTCAGCTGTGGACAAACAACATAATAAAATTATATATTTTAGGGCGTAACGTAGACAAATTTATTTAATATTGTATCAAATTAATATAGTTGGACTGAAATAGAAAATAATTAACAATAATAGTTGTCTTATACAAAGATTTTGACAGTGCTATTGTTAATTAATATATTACTTACCATAGACAGGGTCTTCCCTGGCAATACAACAACGACAAGCTGCAACTGTACGAATGTGCTCTTGAGGTACTTGAACATGGGCTCCACTTGGTCAGGACCCGTCGCGTACTTGCAGAAACATGGCTGCCCAATGATCGGCATTCCGGCGTCATTCGATATCTTCTGTAGCTGCTGTGTGAAGTTCCTTCAAACAACAACACTGCTATTTAGCAGACTGCATTTTCTGTAGTAGAGCTTTTCTCAGTATTTTCACGTGAGTAACCCGCGATTTTTAGTTAAAACAATATGTAACTTAAAACAAAGTCGTTTTCTGATCAGCTATGGCCAACAGTAGCAGATTAACCCTTATGTGTTTTTCATATTTAGCCAAACAACTGTAGCAGTCAATGTTTAAGAACTTACAAATGAGGGTAATTTAGATAATTAGGAAACAACTATTTCAGAAAATTATTTACACTTAAGGAACTTACTTCAAAGCATCTTCTCTAACAGTTCTCTGTGGTGCAAAGCAAGCAATTGCCCACACTCGTATCTCAACACCCATAAAGAACTGTTTGCCTCTCATGTCCCACACTCCTTGATTTGGTAAAGCTTGCTATAACAAAATCAATAAAAAAAATTAAACCTTTCCATAGCTCTACAATATTTTGTAAGTTTCAGGATGTTACTGAATTAATGAACAGAATATTATAAATAATTGGCGTCTGCCAGCAGCCTCGCCTTATGTTGTATAAAAATGGCCTACATGTTATTCCAGGATATCCCATGTTTCAAATTTCATCTCGATCCTTTCAGTAGTTTTAGCGTGAAAGCGTAACAAACACACAAATACATCCTTACACACTTTCGCAATTATAATATTAGTGGGATTAATAATACATAGCCTTCATTCATAAAATATAATAAGGATTATTATATTACCTGCCCGCCTAGCGAGGAAACGCGGCCGCCGTATTGTAGCTTGGGTGGTGGCAATACTCGGCCGCGAACCTCCATCATATTGTTTGAGATCGTCAAACCAAATTCCTTCACATACAAGTCAGTGTTGAAATTTGCACGTCGCACCAGATTATTGATTTCTCTTTCCCTATTTTGGAAATTTTATAACACATTAAAAAAATAAATAAACGCTGTTGTACCATGTCATGTATGTATGCAACATGAAAGTTACCTGTCGGGAGCTGAGCGTGCTGTAGCTTTGATCATAGTAGATGTTTGCATATCAGTTAGCTTCTTGATACATCTTTGTCCAGGGACTATATTGCATACCTCCAGTGGAAGGTACGTATGTTTATGCTCTTGACCTACTTGTAGACATGGCAGATGAGGATACCTCAACTTCATCTTATACTTATCCAAGAAATATTTTGCTACAGTACATTCTACTGTTTGTCCGTTTTCTAACTGGAGAGGAAAACTGTAGAGAAAATAGTCAAATTTAAATCAGATGAATAATGGAAACTGTTTTCCTGTATACCCAATGGTAGCATGATATGAGGAATATATTCACTTTGAATAATAAAACTATCAAAATATAATTTAAATTACATAATAATCAACAATTTTACTGTGCTAATAGAATAAATTATAAAATCATTCTAGGGATTGACTACAATTTTTCCTACTTTTAGACAATTGTACCAAATTCACAAGTAAGTGTTCCCTTGTGTAGTTGTAAGTTGTAACATTAAAGAATGACTTACGATTGCATCTGTGAGGGGCGACGGGTCACATTACATACTCTATATTTTCTCTTCATGGTGCCACAGTGAGTGATTTCAATCTTGAGGCCTTTGATTTCCTTTGTAAATTTAACTCTCTGTGAGTCCGTCAGTGGCTTTCTTTGATCATTGATATCTCGTATGTCAAGGACTTCACACATAAACTCTATGACTGGCTGTGCTTTGTAAAAGGCAGTTGCAGAAACTGGAAGCAGAATTAAATAACATGTTACTGAGTGAATGGAAAAAAGCATATATATGGTCGAACTGAGAACCTTCTCCTTTTTTTGAAGACAGTTAAAAAGAATTATGAATCAATCACAATCAGAATCCAATAGATTCTAGAATATTTAATTAGACAGATTGAATCTATCAAAACAAGAATATAATATAAGGTAGATCATTTAAAAAAAGTAGCAAGCAATTAAACAATATTGATATCATTAAAATAACTGCATGCCTTGTGCCATAGTTAGCAGTAGTTTTAATTGTATTTTGATGTATTATAAATGACTATTACTACTGATTTATTTTGTAATATAGGAGGTAATTAAAGTTTATGACATACCATCAATATTAAGCATCATTTTCCATTGGCTGGGTCTTACAGATTGGTGAAAACCAAACCAGACTTCTCTGCCACCACCCAGGGGGTGGTAGTAACCTTCAGGTGAAGAGAAAAATGAACGTCCCACAGGAGTGTACATCATGGAAGGAAGATGCCTCATCACCACATCTAAAGCTAAGATGGCATCATATGGTATCTGCCTGGTTCTACCTTCAAGAGCCTCTTCTAAAGCAAACAATGAAACCTAAAAGATAATTAATTTCATTACTAAAGCTTAAGTTAAAGCTTAATTGCTTAAATGTTCAGTTGAAAAATAAATTAAGTTGAATCATCATCATTAACAGCCGGAAGACGTCCACTGCTGGATATAGGCCAAATAATTTGAATGTATGATATTATTTAAGAAAACAAAAATATTGGATAACACTACTAAAAAGTCAACTTACACTAACACACTATAAAAGTCATAATTGTTCTCAAAAATACCAAACACTGTTTTATAACCAAAAGCACTCCATTGATCAGTAAAACAGTACAGTCATGTATATTAAATATTGTAAATCATGACCTAAATACATAATATATAAGAACTTTTATCAGAGTATAGGTGTGAAAACAAAAAAAGTGATCAAGTTTCAAAATCAACATTATTAAAATGTTAAAATTATGTATAGAGTATTCAAGTTAGACAGATTGGTTACTGACCTGTGCAACCCATTTGATGCTGACACGAAACACTCGGTCCTTACCCTCTCCAGGTAATATAACCTCCAATTCAACCTTATCATTACCAATAGGTAATGGATCTCTTGTATACAAATTATTTCTGCCATCAAACACAGGTTTGAGTGCCCCAAATATTTTATTGTAACAATGAACCATGGTTTCAACAATTTCTCTATTCACCTAAAATAATAAATACAAAAACATGTTAGTAGGTACTCTATAACAAAGAAGCATTGGTACACAAATAATTTTCTTACTAACAGGGAAAGGCTATGAGTATACTATGCATAAACGTAAAAAGTACATATGATCCAAAATATTAAACAGTCAATGAAGTACACAAAGCACCGCTAATTAGTTAGCGGCGCTACACATCGACACAACTATCATTTACACAATATACATGTGTGGGTAATTTCATATCAATAGATATGTATAGAAACATTCGTCTATCACACACATCTTGGTATTTAAAAATCATTTTTGTGTCGGTATACGCAATAATTTAGTAAATAAGTTTAAATAAAAACGAGGGTAAAGATAAAATTACTCATAACAAACTTTGAATAAATCGAAATCAAAAATAATGAACGATCGAGCTATACAATACCCATATAAATATAGTGCTTTCTCATTGTAATTTTATGTTACTGAATGATATAAAATATTTCGATGATCTCATCTACAGCGCGCTTGGCGCAATGGTTATCGCCTCCAATTGTCAAGTAAAGTGCCGCCGGATCGATTCCAACATTCACATGTTGTTTTAGAATTAATTTATCAAATATTTGAAATTTGAAATTAGAAACAATTAAATCTTTTCTTTTTTTTCCTTTCCTATTGTTCTAAATCTTATGTTAATTTTAATAGTAAATACTTTAGATTTATTTATACCTATAATATCTTTTATTTATATTTTAGTTCTAGTTATTTATTATTTAGAATAATCTCATTTGCTTCATGCATTTCAACCAACTTAAATAAGATAAAAACAGTAAAAAAGTAATTAACTGTGATTTCTTAATGGTTCGATACCTGAGTATATTTGCAATGTTTGTGGCGACCATAGAAATCTCGAGTCATTTTATTTTACACGCTTATGAAGTAACTACCGACTATTTAAAACATGTTTTTCAAATCACCCGACTTACAAAATAATTGCGTTCTTAGTTGTCAATTTATGAGGATTTCATAGTTTATTGCTACACTACTTATATTCGTGTGCAAAGTTATTTTTATTTTTACAAGATGTTCCAACACCTATCAACATTTAAAAAGGCTGAAACCATTGTTTTGCATGAGCAAAACATAACTAACAATAACTGAAATAGCAAGGCGTTTAATGATATCGGTGAGTAAATAAGATACTACGTTGATATTCTAAATAATATTTATTTCATTTTGTAACTCGACACACCTATCAATTTTTGCACTAGAATAAAATAATTATTGCAACTTATTATGAAGTTCAATATTATAAAGATATATTAATAATTTATTATTAATTGTATTGTAACTTGACTTGTTTTTGTTAGGAGTGTTTCTTTAAAACATATCTGGTTAGGGATTTTTATTCCTTACGCCACTACTTAATTATAAATTATTATTCTAACATTGTGTTTACTTATATTTATTATTATTTTTAAGTAACTTTAATTCCTGTAAAGTATTTCCTGGTATTTTAAATACTTATTTGTTTGGTATCAACAGAGGAGATCCATGCAGTTATGGGTGCACAGATATGCGGAGACCGGTGACGTTAAACATCGTCGACGTGGGCCTAAACCAAAGGCAAATTCATCGGCTCGGCACTACGACATCGTAGCCAGGCACATGGCTGATCCGTTCCTGCCAACCCGCACTACAGCGACAGCACTGAATGTTTTAATACAAACTGTACGGAGACACCTGCATTCTGGTTTAAGGTGCAGGAAGCCAGAGAAGAAAATATTGTTATCTGTGGTTCACCAGCAAAAGCGCTAAGAATTTGCTAAGGACTTTATTAATTTTGATTGGGCGAACAGTGTAATCATATTGAGCGACGAAAAGACTTTCAAGTCGGATAAGGATGGGCGTAAAATATTGTGAAGAAAAGATGGAGAAAGGTATACGAATTGCAACCTTCTGCCTTGTAGGATCAGTGATTGTATTGATTTCGGAATCAATTATTGAGCCTGTCAAACTCTGCCTTTATTAAAATTAACATAAAATAATGTTTAATTTTTTTAAGAATATTAAAATGCTGTCTAGAACATACGGTGAAGTGATGTTATTGTTTTGTGGTTAGAAATTGTCATAATTTCTTTCTATTCAACATGTTTATTCACTTCACTTTAATTTTTCATTAACAAATTTATTTAACTGCTTTCGAACTTGATTGACATATTATATTTACGCCCATCTTCAATTAATTTAAAGTTTCCCTGATTCTAAAGGTCATGAAAGTTAAAATCGTTCCATAGCATTCGTCACATTCTTTTTACTATCATACAGCCCACTGAATATTGAACCTTATAACAACCGTCGTAAAATAGATAATTAATGGAAGTTCAAACGACAAAAAGTCGCCCATTTCAAGAAATATTATGTTACAGTGTAATTTTTTACATGTTTTACTTGTTTATTACTGTAATGTAATTTAATAATACAATTAAAAAACAAGAATGTTGTATATTTGTTTATTACTACAATAAAAAATGTTGCTGCCATCGTATTACCGCTGTACCGCATGATATTTCCCGATTCGACTATGAGGTTTATTGTCATATCTATTAATTATGATTTAAAGAACTTTAAACTTAACATGTGGTATATAATTAATTATTAGATATAAATATTGAATATAAAACAACATATTTGTATAATAAATAAATTAATTGTAATAAAAAATAGTATTGTTTTATTTACCAACTCATTTGCTTCTTTTATAGCCTGATATTTATATTTTATGACAAAAAAAAAAAAAAAAAAATAAGAAAAATAACAAGGTAAAATAAAATTAACTTTTAGCTGGAATAGAACCCACATCATTGATCCTTGAAAGACGATAAAAGCGTGCTCATTAACCAATCGACCACGAGCACTACGATAATGACAGTGAAAATGTCGGGTCATATCAATGATTGTAAATAGTTTTAACCTTACCTATGCATTAAATTATAAAAATACGTATACCGACACAAGAATGAAAATACCAATGTGAACGTGGTGGACGAATATTTTTATATACAGTTATATGAAATTACGCACACATGTACACTGTGTAAATGACAGTTGTGTCGATGTGTAGCGCTGCAACTAATTAGCGGTGCTTTGTGTACATTCCAATAAAAATATTATTGTGAACAAAGTGGAACTTACCTTTCTGGGACATTTATCTGGTTGTATGTTTACATCATAATGATGAACAAATCCTCTTGGCATTGATATTTGGAAATGATTAGCTCGCAGCATTATGGGTCTTCCTTCATGGCCGAGGTTGGGGCGGCGCGGGCATGTGAGTGTTGGTAAATCCGCCAGCGGTGCTGCAGGTGACACGAGGCTCATGGCGCCAGCACCCCCAGCAGCACCAGGAGCGGTGGCTCCGGTGGCGGGGGCAGTGCTGGGGACTCCGGGCGCAGCACCAGTCGTGCTCGCAGCCGCGGTCACTGCCCCCGCTACACTCACTGCACCAGCATTCGTGTCCCCCGCTGGAGCTATGTAATTTACACATATCCAAATTCATTTTCAAAATATACACAAAATCACAAAAACTTAGCGTTACAGCGTGATTCTTGTGGCTCCTGCCTTGCAGTATTATTTAGAACAATCAAACAAAGTAGAGCTCCCATAGAGTACCTATAACACCTACCTTGACCAACGGGGTACATCCTGATAAATGTTTTATATCAACAAAGCCTAAAACTTAAAACAAACACAAATTTTGTGTAAGTAATAGCAACAACGTGAAAAATTGAATAATAATTATAAATTATAGAAAGTGTCAAAGTATTTTCTAATTCGTCGCCCTAATCTAATGCTTTTTATGACGTCGTGTGATAGTGTGGTATTTATGTAGAATTAGAGCAGAGACTAAAACTAGAGTGGTATCATGGTTTTATTTTGTATAGTCGATAGTACTACATAGTCACTACAGATAGGCGATTTTTCGGATAAATATTCAAAAGAATAAAAACTTAGCAAATACTGGGAAATTATCCACTTTTTTGGAAAAATTCCTGACCTATCCAGAATAAATAATCAGGTCAATCATCCATTCATCCATTCAAAAATTGTTCATCTATAATAGTTACTAAACTCAAGGTGAGGTCAAATCGCCAAAAAACTGAACTCTAAATTATAATAATGTCACTTTCTATAAAACTTGTTATAATGAGAATGAACTATAACTTCAACTGTTAAGTATTAAAAAGTTTTCTTCTTGACGGGTAGAAATTTTTAAATGAACCTATCTTTTTGGAAATAATCAAGGGCGTGGAATTTTTACCTACAATTTGAATTTGTACATAATAAATCTACCAAATATTTTAACGTAATGTATCAGGTACCTAGGTAATAATTTCTATTTTGAGTATCTATGTACATAAGCCTAGCCCTAACCTAATATAGACCATAGTCCATACTCAAACAAAAACAAAATTCAGAAATGGTAAAATAGAGTACAAAATCTAGGTATACTGTAGTAGAGTACTCTAATAGGGAAGTCAGCCTGCCACGTGTTCTCAGGTCTTGTCGGCGAGTGAATAGGAATCCTTAATTTCCACAACAACAAGTGCACATTGACCATTCGTGCCCCTCTCTAGCAAATGTAGCAAGAGAAAAAACTCGTGTATATGACTTCCCCTTTATTTACTAAACTCTTTGGTATGACACTGGCCTAACCTATATTATTGATCAATACGTACAAAGCTATCTATATATAAATTTGGAAATAATATGTCTATCCCGTACAGCGGTACGTTAAGAAGATCTGGAGGAGTAGTTTCTGCTATAGGGAAACAGCTAAGGGGAGTGAATTTAAAAGCTGCCAAGAGAATTACTGTTAAATTTGATCCATTTAGTGAGAATGTAACTCATACAAGGTGAGAAAAATCAAATAACAAAAATAGGTCAGTTTGCAAATCCCTATAAAGGGTAGATAAGGATTGAGTCGAAAATTGTTATGCTTTACGAAATTCTAATTATTATGAAACTAAAAAATATTTAAAACACTTATAACCTACAATATTAAGAAATCAGTAATGTGAATCATAAATAATAATCTACCTAGATACATAAATCTCACAGTTTAGGTAAAACCTTAATCTAATACAGCTGCTGGCTGATTTTATTATGCATATTTTTTTTTTATAAAGTATACAACTTTAACAAGCTCACTCTGTTCACATTTGTTTGATAGTAACTCTTTTTTTTGTCTTACACCTCATTGTGATTCTCAGCATAATTTTGTTGACAGACAGTCGGTCATTCTAAAATTAGCATGAGCAGACATCTAAATTCTTATATTTTGAAAGTACATAATTCTCAATTACTACCTGCAGGTAGACTACCTCTTTGTTTATATTATTCAACTATTACACAGTGTCACTATGACCAAAGACTACAATACTATATCTGAGAACTATGACTGCGCAATTAATATTACTTATTAATGTATGTTTTATACATTTTTTAGAAATTTCCTGCACTACATAAGTTCACAGAAAATAGCTCTAACCAATCCTAACTGCATTTTGAAGACGGAAATTGTTTGTGACCGGAGTGAGCCTAGTGTCAATATATCTCTAGCTCCTTCTATTGCAGGTAATTAACTCGTCGAGTACCGGTTTTATAGACACAATTAAAGAACAATAGGTCGCGGTCACCGGTGACCGCTTGGTGTTTGACAGTTTAATCTGTCATTTGAATGATTTTATCATCTCATACAAGTTTCTGCATCTGTGCACATCTTATTTGGAATTGGACAATGTTTTTAAATATTTATTGTAAATATTTATTACTGACTTTATACTACTGTTACAAATATGAAAAATTTTCATGCTGTAATACTATGAATCACAGTAATCAATGACTCACAACATATTGAAATTGGACAGATACAGAATTATAAAGTTACATTGCATTTTTAATTTAATGTTTATAGCTTCTGAAATTAATACAGCTGTATTTATTTCCCTATATTTTTTATTTTCAGAAACTGCCAAAGTTAAAGATATAACAATAAAAAGTGGAAATCTCACTTGTTTAGAAATTCTACAGTTGTTGAACAAACATATCTCATCATTAGCACCTGTAGAACAGCCAGCTGCGTCAATCCAAACGAAAACCGAAAAGAAGAAGATTAAGAAGAAGTAAATACTTTAGCATAATGACCAGGTCAAGTAAAGGAAACCTCAATGTAGTGGAGGAGTTATACAATCAGATACCAGCATTCACCGATGTCTTCTCAGAAGACACATTTTACATTTTTGTTGTGTTCTTTGTTTTATCAACTGTAATTGTTGCCTTTATTTTGTCCAGGTTCATTACTATCAAACCGGTAGAATAGATTGTATGATAGTTATTTATATGTAAGATGTGTGAAATTTGTTTCAAAATGATTTAATAAACAGTTAAATAAAATGTTTTTTTTTTATTATATTCACAGAATTTTGTAGAGGAACGACTAAGACAACATGTACTTAAATTGGTCCACAGAAGTTATTAGTTATCCTACTGATTCAATTAAGTATTAAAACCTCCACAAAACCTCTATGCATAAATTTGTTTCATAATCTACATTCAATAATATAAATGCAGGGTGTAGACTATTCACTGCAGTTCAACACATTACAAGTTGAAATAAAAATCGTTTTCATAAGATTTCATAATACATTTTAATTGAGTACTTTGTATTTTGGTTTGAAATAAAAAAAATGTTCTGGTATAAATATGTATATTTAATAAAAACTGCTTCATGGATGAGCTGAAGAGCACTAATTAGTTTCAGCGACAAAACTTAGTTAATCTTGCTTAGTTAGATATGAAATTATGTTTATGAAATGAATGAACAAATGTTCAGTACTAAAATTCTTGAGCTCCCCAACGAATCTGAAATAGAAATTTATCGTTACTTCTTATAATGTTAATTTAGACTATTTTATAACTTCACAAACTAAATTCAGGTGAATAATATTATATTACGTAATAATTAAAACCTACATCTTGATTACGAGCTTTTTGTTTGCGTTCCACTAGCGAAGTCAGGGCTTCAGATCGCACAGCCAATGAGTCAATCCTTTCTACAAGTTGTTGGTACGGAGACAATGGTTGGGCACCCATCACGACATGACCCAACTTTGAGTCAATCTTGGCGTCAAGGCGGGCATTACGGATCAAGTTCACAATCCAACATTCAGCCTCATCTGGCTGCATGTTCAAATTCTCTGCTAACATTCTGAAATTAAAAATTTTATAAAAAATCAAGGATTTTTCATATTTTTATTAAAAAATCTGAAAATTAAAAATAATACATACCCAATACTGATAACTTGGTGAATACGGCAGAATGTCTCGAAAATCATAAGTCGAGCGTTTTCAACAAACTCTTCCAAACAGGCAATCAAAAAGAAGTCAGTCAAGAGTACTGCTTGACACTGATTAAGCTTCCTGCGAGCTGCTTCAAAGTCAAAGTTTACATAGAGATGCTCTATAAACTCTGTGATGGGGTCCCTATAAAATAAAATAATAATTAAAATAAACAGACATAGTTCATAACTGGCTGCCACGTCGGTTTCGGTTTGGATCGCCGGGTAGGCCAAATTAAGTATCAGGCGGCGTTCAGAACACTCTTTAGTAGAATGTATCTGGTATAATATGGTAATAGGTTCACCCCATATTACATGGGACTTTTCAGTCATGTTTATAATTGGTAAAAAGTGGATGTTGCATTTCATTTGTGGACCTCTACTTAACCCATCGGGGAATAAAAGGAGTGATGTTATGTATGTATGTAGTTATGTCATGACGTGTCTAATGTTTTAAATCATTCAAAGTACTAAGTTACCTGTAAGTGTAAGCTTCTTGCTGGATTACTTTGACCAGATCCTTCAGAGCATTCCTTCTGGACCGATTTATAATTACAGCAGTAGCCAAATAACGGAGGATATGAGGGCACATAGTTTGAATAGCATTCAAGTACCTACAAAAAATAAAGAAAATTAGTATTAAGCAACATTGAATTGAATAAGCAGTATTATTAAAAGTATTTTTTTTTTTTACTTACAAAGGCTTGTACAAAAACATCTCAATTATAAGGTCACGGCCCTTAACATGGTTGAAAAATACGAAAAGTGACCAGTGCACAAGCCAAGTACGCTGCTGAAGGGCTTGCATGTTGTTAGCAGTTGCGCCAGCGCCACCATTATCAATAAACTCCCTCAATTTCGTTAGATCATCCAAAGCCCCATCCCAGTTTTGTACCAAAATCTCACTTGCCAGCTTACCCCATAGCACAGATAGATAGTTCTGAAAAGAAAAAAAATTAGCGTATTTTGCACAAATAAAACTTTATTTACAAGTAATTTGAGATATTAGTAAACTTCCCATACTAATTGTATAATTTGTTTAATCTATGGTAAAGTTATACAACCTCTTTAGTTATTTTACATACATGTACTTTATTTTTCAGACTTCACTGAAAAATAAAAAAGTACATCTGTTTTTGTGGCATTTACCAAAAATGTCAGCTTCATCAAAATTAATAATTCATAAATTTGAAGCATCTGGTGTTAATGTTCAATCTTTACATGTTACATTTGAATACGACGATGATTCGTCGATGATAAAATACAGTGAGTGGTTGGATGGTAAATTACAAGAGAAAAAGAAAGATACCGACAAGTCGTCACGCCTAGTAGTGAAAATTGTTTCAGGAAAAGAGACTGATAAGTTTAATTTAGACGAAAGTGCCAAGGAAATTGATTCACCGGAAACTTACATAAACAATTATTTTTCTGATACTTCAACACAATACAAACCTGAACTAACACATAAATTAAGTGAAAAAGCTCAAAGCTTAGATTGTTATCATGAAGATGAATCAAGAGACATACTAATAGCTAATCCATCAACATTTCCAAGTAATACACATTTCGAAAATGAGTTACCATTACAGTTATATCTAAAGAATAAATACAAATTAAATAATCCAGAGAATTATTTGAGTCCTTTAGAACATAGTCTTGAAAAAGTGAAAGAGAATAATGCACGTATTATGGAAAATATTCACATGCTCAACAGAACCCTGAACTATACTAAAAAGAAAGAAATACTTGACATTGTTTGCCCAAAATCTATAAGATCCTTTCCTTGTAGCACATGTGGCAAATGTTTTGTTTATGAAACTGGTTTAAGAAGACATTATTCAATGAGACATGCAATGACAGAGGTGCAACCACGTTGGCAAGTGGTGTGGACCTGTATTCAGTGCTTTCAAGTCTGGCCTCGTCAAGATCAAGCTTTAAAACATTCTAGTGAATGTTGTAAATCAAATAATACTGATTGTGTTCGAGAAATTAAAACCTCTTCATTGCTGCAATGTGAATTTTGTGAAAAAGTTTTTACAAGCATTCCTAGACTACTTCGGCACTCTAAAATTCATACAACTGCTAACAATTATGAGTGCAATGCTTGTGGAATGGCATTTGTGTCATATAAAACAGCTGAACAACATTGGTTAATATGTCCATGGTTGAATATGTACTATAGTTTTTCACTGCCAAAACTATTGCTTTGTAATGCATGTGATCGTAAATTCAGGAATTATGAACAATTGTACAATCACAGGTAAGTGGTGTATTACAGATAAGTACTCAAATTCTTTAATAAAATTTATTGCAATTTTATTATTTTTTTAATATAATTTTGTTATTTTTATGCAGATATAAAGTGGGTCACTTCATGACTAAAACACATTGTAATGAAGACAACAGTAAATCTTTGGGTATATTGGTTTATCAATGTGAAATTTGTGGGCAGTGGTATGCTTCCATAGCTCCACTGAAAGCACATAAGAATCAATACCATCCCAAACACGATGCAGGGATGCCATGCAGGATGGTATGTAAATTTATTAAAAGTTGCATCCTCTCTCATCTTTAGTACACATTATGAATCTGATTATTTTAAATGTCATTATTGTATCAATTACATTATTAACCATTATATTTTTATTGCAGGAAAAGGCTATAACAGAGAGTGCCAACTATTATGCTTCAAACGAAAATGAAATGTATGTCAATCAAAATGAAGAAATTACTAAGCCCAAAGAAGAATAATAATTGTAAAAATAACCATAGTTTGAACAGTTATTTAGTATTGTAATAGGTAAATTTTTTAATAAAACAATAAGTATAACCAGAACTGCATCCTTTGTTTTATCTTTGTTATTAAACTGTCAAACACCAAGCGGTCACCGGTGACCGCAACCTATTGTTCTTTAATTGTGTCTATAAATACGGTACTCGACGAGTTAATATTTTGGATTCTTACCTTGTCTGTTGGGGACATGACCAGTTGGCAGAAATAAAGGTATGAAGCTGACTCCACATAGTTACCACACTCATAACGGTACTTGGCCAGCCTATACATGCTATCAATCATCTCAATCTTGAACTGTAAAGCAAAATGTTAAGTCAAAATAAGCCTAATATGTGTACTCAAACCCATTTAGAATTACTTGATTAGTACTACTTGTAAACAATTTTTTTCAGTGTATGCAATAAAGTATGAATAAATAAAAATAAACTGCACTGACTAGTAAATGAATAATAAAATAGAAAAAAAATTGTTTTGTTCAAAATCCAACTAATGGGTTGCAGTAACAATAATAATGACCATTTAAAGATTTTCATACCTCAAACTCTTTGTTGGTAGTAAGATGATTAATAAGAGTTTTAGGGTCCCTCATAGTTTCCACTGTTTTCATGACATCATCTCTCTGCATGAGTCTCAACACTGGTTCCACAGCATCTTGAAGTTCTTGAAGCTGGGAAAGGACTACACCTCTTCTTGCTTTAATTTCCTAAAAATTAAGGTTACGCACACATACATTTATTTATACCATATCATTATTATTACAAACAGAAAACACCACAACAAGTCAAACATCGTCAGAACAGTTGAAGACTAAAGAACTAAACTAACACGACACTACAACAGATAAAAGCCTATATGAGAAGTATTAGCTTGTTACAGCTCTCTGCTCAACTTTAAACTTAAACATAACTTTTTAGTGGCACATTAAGATAAGACATCAATGTTTTTAATAATATTCTATTAAGTAACATGTATTGAGCAATTAACATACCTCAGGTGTGTCCTCATCAGGGTATAACATTTTTCTGATGTCAATAACATAATCAATCATGTTAGTTTTGCTGAGAATTTCCAACTTAGCCTGCAAGAGCTCCGACTGATCATATGTCTGAAAACAAGCGTATGTAAGTAATTAATCTACAAGATCCAGTCCCTCATATAATCAAAATTGAGAGAAAAACAGGTTAACTAAGTTTTTTACCTCTTTAGCAGCTAAAAACTCAAGCAACGGAAATACCAAATGCCGATCAAGGTATTGACCTATTTTAAAGGTCAAGTCGAATTTGGAATAGCTCATTTTGCAGTTTTTATTTGTCACTATCTTGAATTATGGTAAAAGTATCTTGTGAAAGCAATAACTATGCCCAGTGGCATGGCAGACAAGCAAGGAAGAACGTATTGACAAGGTCTTGACATACAAGTGACAACTCAACGCCGATAAATATACGTGAGTTGTTTAACATTAGAATTTTTTTTTTCTTTCTTTTTATTAAGGTTTGGCAACTTCACAGTTTTTATTGATGCTAAGGATATAGTAAACGTTTTGACCTGGAAATTTATAACCTATAAAAACTTCTTTTAGCTCTCATTGGTTGGCGTTGTGGAAACGGAAACTATACTATAGTGTTGCAACCAAGAATCATAAAGCTAGAATAATGATTGACCGACCGCACTGACCGCTGTACAGAAATTATACATAAAGTTTAATTAATTTTATCGTTAAGGACCAAGACATTTTTCATTTATTTATTTTATTTTCAGCCATGATCGTCCCCCTGCAGAACAGAGGCCTCCTTACCCTCTTTCCACTCCTCTCTATGTAAAGCTTTTGCGGCCAATCATTGTCATAGATGTCTAATTCGTCCCACCATCTCCTTTAAGGGCATTAAAAACATATTTTAATTTCAAACCTATTGTACTTTCAATAAAAGGTTCAATCTGGCTAATACCTTTCGGTGCCCTGCCAGTGCTATAAAGATATCATCCACTGATATCTATATTCGGCGCCGATTTGACATAATAAATAAAAAATACTGATGATTTTATGACAAAAAGGATTAATTTAATATCATTTTAGTAAAAACTTCTCAACCTTGGAACATTCACCTCTAGGCAAGAGCAAAAGACTCATAACCAAAGTGTATAAAAAACAAATAAACTAAAAATTAAAAAAAAAACTCTATACAATTGATAACTGTGCGTGTTTCTGAAATTAAATTTGCGATAGCAGAAATGTTTCTAATTTGAAAGAAATACTGTTAATTTCGTTTATCGTGTTTAATTTCGGAGGCGAATTTTACAATTGTGAGGTTAACAACTGTTTGTTTGCCGCGGTGCGGCCATTCAATCCTAATGGTGGAGTTCAAGATGGCGTCAAGCGCGTTGGATTTGGATGCGTCATAAATAGACGCGGTGCATGTGTCTTGAATGGCTATAAATAGAGAATTTAAATTAAAATGGCTGCATGAATTGCAATGAAAAATGTCAAACACGGTCATAACTAACTACACGGATCTTAATGGACCCTCCACTAAAGCTGATAGTTCTGTTGTTGTTATTGTAAACAAGGATGGATCTCTCTCTGTTGATCAGAAATTACTTGGTACATTAATGGGTAAGTGTTAGAAAATAATCTTCACTTTCATATTTTTCATATTTAAAAAAAAACACACCTGAATACTGGAAAGTAAACATCAAATTAAGGCATTTTGGTATGCAAAACAATACACAAAGTATTTTTATTACTATTGCAGTAAAGTGAGACAATAATATTACGGTGCTTAATTTTATTTCGGATGCTTTTATCTATCAAATATATCCTTAGTGCATGTCTAATAAGTTTTTAATCGTCAATTTCCAATAACTATTACCATTCCAATAGGATTAAATTAAAAATGCATTTTGGCGCCAAAACTTTAAAGACGTCGATTTCTGTTATTTGCCTGCATTTTGTATACTATTTTATATTAATTGTTCTTTAAGGTACGGATGGATCTCAAAGCACTGGTATTAGTGTTGTTCGGGTTGGTCATGAAGGTAAACCTGATGATGCAACTGACTCTGACTCTGATGACGAAAAAGTACCTCATGTGACTCTCTCTGTTGATAGTTATTATGACGAACCAAACAGTATCATAAAGTATGGTAAGACCTAGCAATTTCTAATTCCTTTAGTTCAAGATTATTGCTTAATGCAAGAAGATAAACATTGGCTTAACATTGGTTTATTAATCATCAGCTATTTTTTACCAGTTGGGGCATGACTTTTTTTGAGTTCAATGCATTAAAATAGAAAGTTATGACTTGTCCTTGTGAAGGGTCAATTGCCATTTCCAAATTACAATGGTCAAGTGGTCAAGTTCTGTTAATTTGTTGTTTACAGATAGTGGTGCTGAAATGTTACAGTCATTGAGGATAGAAACAAGAGAAAACAGTTTAGTAGGATTCCAAAATGATCACTGTTATACACCACTCAGATCTCCAAGTCAATCTACACCTCAACATAGTGACAACTTATCAAGTTATGATGAATCAGTTATTCAGATCTCACATACACCACCACCTAAACCTGTTCCCAATTCAAAGAAAATTACTATTTTGGAACAAAAAATTATACCCAAAGGTAAAAAGATAGTTATAAATCCAACTGAAACTCCAATAATATTAAAAGGAAATGATGTGCTACATAAGCCACTGCCTATTATAAACAAATCTAAGGATATCAGGGAATTGGAAAAACCTACTGAAGCTTTACAAAAGGTTGATGACAGTACAGAATCCTCTTCTGTAAGCTCATCTGGTGATAGCATCCCTGACAGAGACTCTGATTCTGACTACAAAGACACAAAAGATAGGACAGGTTCTCTAAGACTAAAGAAGAACAAACTAAAACCACGCATATTAAAAACGGTTGCTATACCTAAAGTCTCAAAGGTTGAGCCTAAATTGATTACCAAACTGAAGTCTAATAGAAATGTTCTTAAGAAAGATATTAAAGAAAAATTACTGCACAAAAGTATTACAGAAAAGAAAGACTCCTCAGATGTAGATTTGGAGAGCTTGTTACCATCATCAAAAATATCAACTACTGTCCCATCTAGTAATGATTCAAATAAAGTTGTTGTAAAACAAATTCCCAAAGCAATTAAAAAAGAAAAAAGACACCTGCTCATGTTACTGCTCTTTTGTCTGATATGACTTCTTTATTCTCTACACCAGATGTTATTAGAAGAGTATCCACTGATGGAAAAATTCCCCCCAAAACTCCTACAAATGAAAAAGAATCTTTATTATCAGGTTCCGATAAAAAGGCAGCCACTGCTAAAGTTATAGAACCAAATGAAAGTAAACTTGCAGATAACAGCAAAGTTGGTAACACAGAAAATCTCAAGCCAATAGTGCACAAAACTTACCTGAAGCAAAAAGATAAAAGCAGTCCACCTGAAAAAGCTAAACCTTATGATCCAATTCCTCAGCTAGATGATGCAAGCTTGGCACAAATACTTCAAGATACTACAGGGATCTCAAATCCAGTTAAAAGTCAACCAACTATATCTACTAGTGGGACTATGAATAGTCCAAGTTTAGCAGGTCCTTTATCACCTACATTAGACTTGTTGGGTGGATTACAGCCTGAAGAGGAAGGTTTAACGGAAGACTTCTTAATGTCAGTTGCGCAGCTGGTAGCTAGCTCAGAGAACTTGCAAGAAGTAATTGATAAACAAGTATTAGGGAAAGTAGATACAGGCCCTGTTAAGACACAGTCAACAATTCAATCTCCTCAAACTCCACAACAACAACAAACACAGACAAATAATTTGTACAATCAGACTCTTTCAAAATCTGTTACAAAGAATATACCTCCACGAAAGGATCCAATAGAAATTGTTCGACGAGATGGTCGAGTTATTACATTACCACCTATTGAGGCGCCGGCAACGCGTTCCTCTAAGCGAAAAAGTCAAATGGAGCTGACAAGTAATCCTGAGCCAACACCAGTTGCAGTAACTCCAACTCCAGATCTCCCTGTGTCAACAACCCCTGAACCACAAGTACAAGCTGTATCAAGACAGTATATTAACAAAAAGTTATCTACTAAAAAGCAGGAACAGCCAATACCTAATCCTGTATTAGAAAAGGTCTCAGCAGAATCGCAAGAAAGCTGGAATTCTGAAGACGACCCTAATAGGTATGTTACTAAAAAACATAATGATGAAATATGTGTTGTAAGGTATTCTAATTAATTAATATGATTCCAGACTTTGGTGCATTTGCAAGCAGCCACATAACAACCGTTTTATGATATGTTGTGATGGTTGTGAAGACTGGTTTCATGGCAAGTGTGTTAATATTACTAAAGCAATGGGGCAACAGATGGAAGAACAGGGCATTGAATGGAGGTGTCCTAACTGTATCAAGAAAGCAAAATCACAATCTAAAGGCACAAAACAGGTTAGCATTGGTATAACAGATTCAAATGTTGAATGATGATAATGATGAATTGTATAAGTCTAATAAAGCAATGTTGTTAGATACATGTTTGGAGAATGACAAGAATAATTGTATTCAACTGTTTTTAGGTTCAAGGAATACAAAACAAACCAGAAAGTGAGCAAAGAATTCCATCTCCTGAAATTAAATCACCAGTCCAATCAACATCCACTAAAGATTCAACAAAGACAAATTGCATTGTGTGTAAGAAACCAGCTCGTGCTAGCAGTATTTATTGCAGTAACTCATGTATATGGAAACACGCTCAAGATTCACTTGGAAATCAAGGAACCTCCACTAAAGGCGATGGAGAACCTGGTAAATCTAATGAAAAGCAAAAGTCAGAATCACGAGTAAGTTTCTCAAATATTAACACTAATCAGAAATATTCAGAGATAATGCACAAACAAAAAGTATTATTTTTAAATTAATCAATGATTACAGGTCATAGTTTATGAACGCAAATCTGGTAGGTTGCTGGCGGGTACTAATGCTCCAACTGCAGAGAATTTGAAATCATGGTTGCAGCAAAATCCAACATTTGAAGTAGTACGTCCAGGAACTCTAAGTACAATTAAACCAGGACTGGGAAAAAAGAAAACCACTGAAACAAATAAGGTTCAGACTACTCTCAACTTTGAGAGAATACCTAGAAGTCAGCTGAACAAGTGACACCTGTGAGGACACCTACCACTGAGTCTAAAGAAAGATCTATTAAACTTATATCAGCCCCAAAAGAAGAACCAAGAGCTACTCCACAGCTTAAATCTCCGGTTACTCCAAAATCTCAACAGCTTCAACTAAGTGATACACCAAAAGCTAGTACCTCAACAGCTAAACCTGGAGTAACGTCTAGGAAATTGATACGAACTCCTAGCACACACGCACAATCCTCGCAAGACAAGGTATGTTAAACAAATAAAAGGAAAAGTTTTAAATAAAGCTTTAGTAACTAGGCAATTGTTCTGATTATCAAAACCATAAAAACAAAATTGTATATTTCAAAGTCAGGAGAGATTTCTAAATATGATTGATGTAAGTAAGTGTGTAAGTGCACATATTAATTCATAACAATGTAATGTTCCAAACTATCAGAACATGTGTCTCAATGTAATTGATGTGATTAACTGTGTAAAAGATATTCTTTCAACATTATTTATTGCTAACCAAAATGGAGAGATGTTTTGTTTACATTATTCAATTGATGTAATTTAGTATTATATCATCTGCATGGGAGTTCTTCTCAGTCCCAGTTAGTTTACAATGTAATTAATATGAATATTATGTATGACAATTATTTTCTTTAGATGAGTTTTTATTCTTATTACAGTTATTATTAAACTGATATTATCTGTTTTGAATTTTCTAAAATGGGTAGTAGTGATTACGACCTTGAACGTGTTTGCATTATGATTATGAAGCTGACATGACGAGCTAACGATAATTGTAATATTACAGGCTCCTTCAGTTTCGCCATCAACGTCACGTCGGAAAGATACTCACAGCAGAATTAGAATGTCAAGTGGTGAACCAATTAGAGATAACGTGCGGAAAGCTTTGCATGAACAGTTGAGCATTCGCATGGCAGAAAATACTGGGCCGAAGTTTACAGATGCGGAAATACAACAGTTTGCTAACGACACTGAAACAGAGTTGCACGAACTGTTTAAGGACGTGGGGATGAAATACAAGGCTAAATACAGATCGCTTATGTTCAACATAAAAGATCGAAAGAATTTGACTCTATGGCAAAAAATTTGTGACCGATCTATTACCCCTAAACAACTCGTAAGTGACTGTTTATAATGTCAATTGACTAATCAAAATTGTGCTTAGTATTTACCATATTTTATTTCATATTAATATAATATGATAACATTTTTCAATCCAGGTCCGCCTGTCTCCTGAAGAATTAGCAAGTCAAGAATTGGCACAGTGGAGAGATAAAGAGGCTAAGCATCAGTTAGAATTAATCAAGAAAACAGAACTAGATCTTTTAGCTGCCAGCAAAACCTATGTTCTTAAAACACATAAAGGAGAAGAGGTGAATACAATTGCTTCTTAATAATTCTTATCATATTTTCATTTATGTTTTTATAAAATAATTGAAATATTTACAACCTTTTTATTCAGGTAATGGAAACAAAAGAATCTGTATCAACAGAATTAGATCGGAATGTTCCGGTTGAAGATGTGGTCACAGCATTAAATGTCTCAACAGTTGGTCCGGATGTTCTAACAAAAGAAAGAACACCAGAAAAGTGAGTATTTATTTTCTAAGTTATTTTCTCACTTGTACCACATACATTATACATTTATTTATATACAATTGCTTGTCTTGTTGATTAGTACCAATAAAGGAGATGAAGATAAGAAACACAGCAGTAAAAAAAGAAATCGAGAAGACAGCAGTTCCAGCCGTTCAAAAAAGAGTAGGCGTGAATCTAAACGGGATTCTGAAAGAAAATCTAGATCTTCTAGAAGAAGATCAGCGTCAAATGATAAAGATGATAAACAGGAACAGAGACGATCAATGCGCAGGTCAGAGAAGAAGACAGGTAGAACTAGATCGGTTTCAAAAGATAGAGCAAAGGAACCTAAAGATAAATCTGATAGTAATGAACGATCACGGCGTAGATCGTCGTCCAGGGATAAATCCAGAAGGCGATCTAAATCACGAGAACGGTCTAGATCTCGGGCACACTCCAGACGACGTTCGCCATCCCGCGAAAGCCCTAGGAATACGACACGTTCCAAACGTACTGTTAGCAGTGATGACAAGCAGAAACATCGTTCTAGACCTCAAGAAAATGTTTATAGTAAGAATAAAAATGAGTAAGCATCTATATTTTTCAACATTGATATTTCAATCTAATTGAATTTGGTAAAATTTACATTTGTCGTGTGTTTAGTTCCACAGATTCTGACTCAATAGAGAGGCCAAAATCAGCCATGTTGAAGGAGACTCATCCTGAATACGATCCTCACGAACCGATGATAACATCAGCGTTTTCCGAAGAAGACTTACGCAAATCTAGGGAAGATGTTTTCGAGGAAAACTATAGGAACGACATGAGCAGTTATGAAGCAGAGTATGATCCTTCAAAATCACTGATTGATACGAACGTATTAATGTCTACAAGATACTCAACAAAACAAGATAAAACATCGGGTTGGTTCACACACATTTTCCTACTAGAAGTTCGCCCTAACTTCACACAGCTGTTATTTACTAAATGTTCGTGTAGTGCACACTGCTCACAACTTAGCATTCTATAATTCTTTATCTAACTATGTAGATTTTTACCATACATAAAAGTAATATTTATTTTATTTTAATTACTTCTAGAAGCTGAAAGCGATCAAGAGCCTAGCAGTACAGTTGACAATTCAGCGGCAACAGTGTGGAGTGGATGTATCAACATGGTGGATGTAGCTAGATTCTATGTTGCAGCACATGAGGTTTGCCGATATCATTCAAAATTGATTATTCAAAGAAGAATGATTATGTTTATATTCTAGTTTTATTTAACATCTTCCTCTTTGTCCTACATTACAGGTGTCTGGTAGTTCGGTGGACTTAGAAGAAGATCTTAGTACTGAACTGGATATTGTTGGAAGAATAAATCCTGACACAGTGTGGGACTATATTGCAAAAATGAAAAAAACAAGCACTAAAGACATTGTTATTCTCAAACTACAAACTGCAAATGACGAAGAAAAAATGCAATACATTGCGTTATATAGTTACCTAAGTAGTCGCAATAGGTTAGTAATGTATTTAATGAGACCATCTAATATAGTATTAATTGAAATAAAAACTAATATCCTTCACCTGACATTCCTATTGATTGAATTTATTTTCCTTACAATAGTCTTTACTACTACTTTTACGGGTGATATTTTATACGCAATTTTTAATTTTAGGTTAGGAGTAGTAAAGGCGTCGAATATGTTGACCGTGAAAGATTTCTATATAGTACCTCTTCCTGCGAACACTTCATTACCTTCGGTTCTCCTGCCTTTAGACGGTCCAGGAATTGGAGACATTAAGACGCATCTCTTGATTGCAATAGTTATTCGACAAAGAAAGAAGCGTTTGGCGACCACCATATCGACTGACGTTGTGCCCGCTAAGGTCAGTTCGCCGAATGAAGATTTGTAATGTTAACTATTAAATAAAAACAATCTGTATTTAATATTTCCTATATTTATATTACTGTGACCACTTATATAAGAAAATGACTGATATGATGTAAATAAATCAATGTTTCTTTTTCCACACAATAAATTATTTTGAAAAATAATGGTTTTGTACTAGACTACCTATCGACAGATTTTTCAAGTATTAATTTTTTGTAAACTTTGCGTTAATTAGGTGGCACGAGAATCTCGCAAGCGCTCTTACACGCCGCCGGCATCGCCACGAAGGCGACCACAGCTTCCATTGCCGGCTTATTCGTCGTCAAACCTGTCTACTACTGTAAAGGATAAAATTGCTGCTTCATTAGGTATTTATAATTTTCCCGTAATATTTTGTTGAAGTGCAGTAGCAAATAAGTAAATGTAAGGTAGATTCGAAATTCAAAACGAATATATTGTGTATTCTAGTTTCTGCGGACGACGATGAACCGTATAGTCCCGGTTCTACAAGTAGCAGTGGCAGTGGTCAAGCATTATCGGGACCAAGTCTAGCTTCCAATACACTCAGAAGTAAAATGGAAGAACTGAACAGGCAAATCGAAGAACAGAAACAACAAATTCGGAAGATGGCCCAAGCAGACTCATCGATTGGCGAGGTAATACTTGATTACTATTTAATTAAATAATTAACTAAAGATTCCATTTGTTATGCCTCATTCATGATATTCCAAAGAAAATTAAAATATTTACGTCATTTTTAATTAGTGGTGATTAATATTAGCAAAAAGTAATGAGTCAATTTTAATTATTGGAAACTAGCTTCTGCCCGCGACTTCATACTCGCAATCCCGTTTGCTCCCGTTCCCGTAGGATTTACAGGACTTTTCTGTCTTAAGAAACTTAATAACAAATACAACAAAATAAGAATGAAATCGGTCCAGCCGCGTGATGCCGTGACCAATGGAAAAAGGGATTAATTTTTGTATAAGTACATAAATTAATATTATGAAATCGTTCTACTTATAATAAGGAAATTGTTTGTTTTGTATACAGGACGAAGCTTACTCTCCATCGAGGCCCATGACTCCACCTGCAGTTCAAAATGTTCCTTTGGCTGACATCGCCTTACCATCTAACTTGCAGGAAATTTTAGCGACAATCAAGCAAAGGTCTGAGTCATCTGCTGGAGATGTTGACATGCGTGGATTGCCCTTACCATAGTTCATATAAAATGAAATGTATGTACATAATAGTAATAATTTGTGTATGTAATTATAAGCACAAGGTTTCTTCTCAGTGCAGACATTATAATTATGTTTTGTGAATATAGCATTTTATATTATTTTGGTTACATATTATCTTACTGGATGATTGTGTATCCATATTATAATTTATAATTCTACTTTTGTAGATTGTGACAATTTAAATGCATTATCCTAATATTAGATTATGTAACTTGAGTTAGGAAGTGTAGGATTTAAACATACATTTATAAACTAAATGTGCAAAGCATATTACTAAAATATTATGTGCAATAAGTTACAACACAAATTCCCAGTACATTATATAATTGGATATGAAATAAATGGGGACGGCTGAATGTTAAAGATTGTGAATGAAGTTAAATTAATTAGTGTAAAGTACTGAATGTAATAGCATATTATTTTACTTAGTGGATATATGTATGTCCGAAAATGTTTAGTGTACAAAACCTAGATTATAATTTGTAGTTTTATCACAATTTATTTTAATTTTTTTTTTCATGTTTAAAATCTGAAGTAAGTAAGATAAAATAAAGATGTTTTAATTGGTATTTTATATATTTTCATCATCATACAAAGTCCTCTTAGATCTAACTTTTTTTTCTTTAAATGTAAATGAACCAAAGTGTTTTTCTTTAAAAGCCAATCTGTTCAGTTTGGACAGCTTGAAATTTTTCATAACTTCATTTTGTAACTTTGGATTGTGACTTAATTTCTTCTGCATAGCCAATATTTTGGTTTCCATTAGTTTTCTTCTTGGAATATGCCTTAAAGAATACTCCCAGTCACCAGTTAGCTTTAAATCTAATAGAATGGGTACCATATGGTTTATATTAAGGTTCTTCTTGGATCCTGGGGCCCATTCGAGGTATCTGTCCAATGGTAACTTAGCCATCTTTATTCCATCCCTTTTAGCTTTTGCTAATGAGAGTGGTTCATTATTCACCTACAAGTATAAAACAATTGTTAAAAATTTTGTTAAAATTGCTGTTAAGATGTTACGTAAGTTGATAAAAGCTTACCTTGTCAACCATGCATCCTATAATGTAAACAGCATCATGATCAAATTTACTGAGCTCTTCTCGACAATGAGGAGTTAAATAGACCAGCTTCTCCTTTGGAAATATATCTAAATAGCTTTCCGTGTGTATATTCAATGGAAACCAAGGTTCATCCAGTGATGGAATATTTTTTCGCATTTGTTTCATAAATTGTCCACCCATATTGACATTACACATATGCAAATTAAAAGGTTCTTTATGAATTCTGTTGTCACCAAAAACATATGTTAATTGTTTAGCAGCATTTAATGCTTCTTTATAGACCATATAATCCTCATATGAGCAGTCTATAACAACAGATTGTCCGTATGTTAGAGCTTGAAGGGCCCTGCAAAATAATATTCATATATAAAAGATGCAACAAATCAATTCACATTTAATTTCATTATTATCATTATGCATGGCATGGCATACATTTATGTTAAATGATACTATACCTATAGTTGTCAAACTGATTTATGGATTGGTCCCGAATTCGCAAAAACAATGACTGATGTTGTATGCCATATAGAAGGTCATCTTCATGCTCTTTGCTATCTTCAGGTTTTATCACAGGATTGTTTAGTCTCTTAGCTTCTTTCTTCGCCTATAAAAATTTAAAATAAACAAGCTTGATTCAATACCCTTAAAAATGATCATGGCTAATGGAATGCAATGAACCCATCATTTAGATATTAAGATTTATACTAAATTACATTCTAAGGTTGCACAATAGGATACACAATATTTTTGGTAAATAGACATATTTAAATGTATCACATTCTATGTAAATTAGGTGATAGAAAGAATGCATCAATATAGCAAGTTATATTATATTGACAGGTTTTGTCATACCTTGAAATTTTCTCTTGATTTTTCCGTTTTAAACAAATATTGGAGGTAGGAAGCTCGCTGGTTTTTTGATGTCAAGCTTAACAAATGTTGCCAGTGATCTTTTTTTATGTTATCCGGAGCATGTCTACCGTCTTGACGCATCACCTCAACTTCCAACATTAAGATCCTTAGTTTCTTTTCAAGTTCAGCATCGCCGTTACATATGTTTTCTACTATTGTGTCTGTAAAGGAGTTCTATAATTAACCTTTTAAAACAAAAACTTGAGTGCTTACTAACTATTAATTATCTTGAATAGCTATCCTTCTAGTTACTACATGATAATGTAAGCTGTTTTCGCTATGATTCTGACCTGTATCATCTTTTTGAGATGAAAACCACCGCCGTTGTGCTACTGTAAGGTGGTTAACGTTGAATAACGTTTGAGTAGGAATTATTATGTTTCTTTTTTGGCGAACAACTGATAAAGCTGTTCTTATACAGTGCATCATTTTACGGGCATACAATTACAAGTATTTTAACAAATATTATGCTCCAAATTTTAAACTATTTAGTGATACTTTTAGGTTACCTCAATTTTTGTTATTTACATAGTTTGACAGACATAAGACACATGACAGCAAATCAAATGTTGCCAAAATATTTGTTTATGGTGATGGCAACCGAGTGTTTACCGGTTTTAATTTTAAAGCAAGATATAAACAAGGAAAGTTATAACCTTACGCAGACAAAGTCAGAACAATTAAAGTAAACTAGAATACACAATTTTATCATCATCATCATCAACAACAGGCAGAAGACGTCCACTGTTCAACAAAGGGCTCCGAAACTTTTAGCTTTGGACTTTGGAAGTTTGGAACTTGCTAAATGCTAGAACTACTTAGTACTGTGACTACTGTGCTACAGTTCAGAAATCAGAAATTAGTTCCATAACAGGCGGTTTTAGAACGATAATATAATTTGATTATTGTGGATTTGACTAAAACTACCTATAATAATAATAATAATAAGTCGTCCCCAAACAACTTCACCAGTCCCTTAGTTCACTGAACCTATCAAGTAACACCTATCACCTTCTGCAAAAGGCGGTAATTTTAAATACTTGCCGACTTGTAAGAAAATTTCTTCAGTGTGAACCGGACAACGTAACACAATCCACTCACAACCGCAATCCCACTGATGAACACTTGGCTTAGGCCCGTGCCATCAGAATTCCCGGCATGCCGGAGATATATATATATATATATACAAAATAATAATAATAATAATATATTTATTTGCTTAAAACATGGTATAAAATAGGTGTTACAAAAATATGGTTAAAGTACAACATGTTTTGCTAATATTTCTATAGCATGCAAAATCAGGAAAAGTTCTAAAATTAACATCCTAGGCGTGAGGTTAATTTCCTCTGCATGAAATCACTTATACAATAATAGTTTTGTTCATTAAGCCATTTGTGCAATTTTCGCTTGAATAGATTTATATTAAGACATTTCAAATCATTCGGTATATTGTTATAGATACGAATACACATAGCCAAGCAATTCTTATTATATTTTGCTGATCTAGGAAAGTCATTTAGTACAAGTCTAAATGGATCTCTGCGATTTCGTGGATTGACATCATTTGCAGTTTTAAATAAATCTTTGTTCTTTGTAACGAACATACATACTTCATAAATGTAAAGCGACGGTAATGGTAACAAACCAAGTCTTTTGAATATTGGTTGGCATGACTGATCAGGTTGCAAACCGTACATAGCCCTTATGCACTTTTTTTGTGCGATAAATGCCTTATCCCTATCCGTGCTATATCCCCACATTATTAGGCCATAGCGAAGCAATGATTCTACATGTGCATGATAAGCCATTATTGCTGTATTTAAGTTTGTAATATTTTTTATTTGCTTAAGTGCATACACAAATTTGTTTATCCTAGCAGATATATGTTCAACGTGGTCCTTCCAATTCATATTTTCATCTATAATTAAGCCCAGAAATTTTGTTTCACCTACTCTTTTAACTTTTGGTATCGTTAGGTTGATGTTATGTTTTGTAGTATTTGATTTATTGAATTGTATGTACACTGACTTGTCCAAATTTATTTTTAATTTATTACTATCTAACCAATCGATTAATTTATCTATTGTGTTGTTAACATCAAGCGCGTGGTCATTTGTTGTGTTTCCGTTCTTACGCGTTGTAACTATAATCGATATGTCGTCAGCAAAAAGAACACACTTATGGTTGGTGATATTTACGACATCGTTTATGTACAACAGGAATAAAATAGGCCCCAACACGCTACCTTGCGGTACACCACGCCTGACATTTTTGTATTCTGATGTTGATGGTGTAAGTATCATATTTTCATCAATTTTTGATATTGTTACACATTGTTGTCTGTCGCTAAGATATGAAGCTATCCAGTGATAAGTAGGACCTCTTATTCCACATTTTTCAATTTTGTTTAACAATATGTCATGTGAAACGAGATCAAAGGCTTTTGATAGATCAAAAAACAAGCCAGTGGTCAGATAATTATTGTTTAAGTTTGTTAAGATTGTACTTATGGTACTATAAATGGCTAGAATGGTAGATTTTTGTTTTTGGAATCCATATTGTTCTTTTTGAATGATATTGTATTTGTCACAGAAATTCACTAGACGTTTGTACATACATTTTTCGTATACCTTGGACAGTATAGGTATCAGGGTTATTGGACGATAATTATTTATGTTGTTTCGTTCTCCTTTTTTAAATAATGGTTTTACGGTCGATAGTTTGAGCGCAGCTGGGAAAATCGCTTGTGAGAATGATAAATTTATCAGATACGTAAGGATTTCAACTAACACATCCTTGCATGATTTTATTAATTTTGTACCCAGCTCATCATATCCGGCCGCGTTTGTATTTTTTAGAGACATTATTTCTTGTTTAACTTCATTTGGTAACATTGGTTTAAGGAATATTGAGTTAGGAATTATTGTTTTATTGTTGTTGCTATACGTGTAGTTGTTTGTCGTAACATGTCCTAGATTAATGTAGTGGTTGTTAAAAGTTGTTGCTATTTCTTTGGGATTTGTAATAACTTTACTTTCAATATTTATGTTATCTATGTTATGTTTAATAGTGTTGTTATTTATTTCGTTATTAATAATTGTCCAAGTAGCTTTACACTTATTATCATTTTCTTTTATAAATTTAATATTAGTATTTTTTTTAGAATTGTATATACATTTTTGTAGAATTTTAGCATAGGTTAAATACTTATTTTTATTCAATGTATTTTTGTTTTCATAATATTGAAACCGCAATTTTCTTTTCATTTTACAGCTTCGCTTTAATCCCTTACTTATCCACTTTTGTTTTCCTTTATCGCACATATTAACTTTAATTTTGTTTTCGGGAAAACAGAGCTTATGAAATAAACATAATAACTCATGATTCTTAAATAAACATAATAACTATTGATTCTTTTATTCATGACGCTCACCTCTACGGAAAAATAAAACTGAATTGTCTGTTTGTTATATTAAAACAACCGCATTCTACTATATGCATATGAATATATATTGTACATACGATACACGTACCAAAATATCATTTTTTAGAATTTTTATGTCTGTCTGTCTGTTTGGCTATTGGCTAATCTTTCAAATGGTTGGCTGGACCAAATTGACGGGACTTTATTGGCAGGTAGCTAATGTACTTTTTTTTAAGGGAGGAAAAATCATTGAATGACTGCTCCCGCCTGGGTGAGGCGGGAGAGAGTGTCAGACTCTTACTGACTAAAAACCACCCCGTTCCTTCTTCTGTGAGTCGAGCCGGAGCCCCGGTAACCCGTTAGGTTCTCCGCGACTAGCTAATGTACTAAGGAGTAAAATAGGCTTTTATTTTGGAAAATTAAATTATAAAAAAGTTATGTCCTACAATTTATATTCTACGCGGACGAAGTCGCGGGCAACAGCTAGCAACTTATATAGTTTCCGATTTTCTTGGATTTTCTACTGACTGTCATTATTTGACATATCTGACTGAAACAAATTGACAGACACGAAAATATTTTTGACAAACGTGAAACGTGCTGGTAGGTAATACACATTGCTGTTAGGTTAGGTTAAATTAAAATTATATAAATGTCAGTGATTTTGTAGCAACAAATTGTGAATTGATAACATTTCGAATTCATAAATTATATGATTAATCTTTGTTCCAGTTTAAATTTCCGCCTAAAATGGCTATGTCGGCAACAATGTTACGCCGTACTTTGATAAACGGTACATTGTACTCTGCAGTTGCTCTTCGATTTGCATCCTGTCAGCCAGAAAAGAAAGTATTCTTCGATGTTACTGCAGATGGAGAACCTCTAGGACGTATAGTTATAAAACTGGAGACTGATATGGTTCCAAAAACAGCGGAAAACTTTAGGGCCCTGTGCACTGGTGAAAAAGGATTTGGATACAAGGGTTCCTCTTTCCATAGAATCATTCCCAACTTTATGTGCCAAGGAGGTGATTTCACCAACCATAATGGCACTGGTGGAAAGTCTATTTATGGGCGTGTTTTCCAAGACGAAAACTTCAAACTGAAGCACACTGGCCCAGGAATATTATCGATGGCTAATGCGGGCCCTAACACTAACGGATCTCAATTCTTTATTACAACTGTGCCAACTCCCTGGCTTGATAGGAAACATGTAGTTTTTGGTGCTGTGGTAGAGGGTATGGATGTTGTATCTAAAATGGAAAGTTTGGGATCTGCAAGTGGAAAGCCTACTAAAAAGGTTACCATTACTGAGTGTGGTGAGTTGGATTAAATGAGCATTTCATCAGTTGTAAATACCGGTTTTAGTTGTTGTTTGTATTGTATGTATGAGATATTATCAATATTGATTGTAGTTGTAAGTAGAATGTAGATGTGAGTAGAATAACAGATCATGTAAAAAGAAAATGTTGTATTATTTTGTCCTTTCTTCCTTAGCTGTAGATTAAACAATAGATTAATATATTTTTTATTCAAATGTTGCACACAGGTGAGTTTCGTGAAGAAATTGGCATCAAAGAAGCCGCTCAGTGAATGAATAAATTATGAATTATAGTTTTTTCATGTAATTCAACATGTGTTGTTATTAGTTTTATTAGAAATGATGATGAGATTAAAAGGTAATAATTAAAAAACTTTTAAAATAAGTATGCAATTTTATTAATCACTAAATGCAACAAATTAGGAGTTGCTATTATCAAACCTGTCTGGGTGATTGACATAACAACTTATTCAAATACATCTAAGTCAGTATCAATATCAAGTCTTAAGATCTATTGTAGTAATAAGGCATTTTTCATTAAAACACTCTCTTTCATATCAAACTATTAACCTCTCTTAACAATATGTGACAAAAATTTACACAAGACAACATTCCTGTCTTTTACATTTATCTGAGATAAAATATATTGCTTTAAAATACATGTTCATTTATAATTAACATATTAATGGACAGTGAACATTGCTCTATAGAAGTTACATTAGTACTTCTATTGTCCATCAGTGTTAAATAATATAGTTAGTAATTGAATTCTTATACCAGCAGCCTGAGAATTGACATTTTAACACCTCAAAATAGTATTTAAAAACAAGTCTTTGACATCAAATTCATATGCAAGTTTTTAGGTTTAATTAGTGTAGACTTTGAACTAAGGCAGTTTGCAATATTTAAGGAAATACTAAATTAAAAGTAATATATTATACTAGACATTAGCTGTCCAAAATAAACAAGTAATTATAAAACTTTTATACATAAAAACCAGAATTTGTAAAATTTTGGACCGTAAGTGGCATGCATAGAACATTAATTGCACTAGTAGACGTAAGTTCATAAAATAGGATCACAATACATAATAAAATTACTAGAAATAAATATTTACAAAAATCAAAGATGCATTAAAAGTAAATTTAATATTGTTATCAATTATTCACATTTGGTTGCAATATTCATTCCTTCCCTTCGTTTGAGATCATGGCTTTTGTTTCTCACTCAAAATATACGGAACCATTCCAATTTTGATTTGCAGTTTTGATAGTCTGTGCTCCAGTTTAGTAACGTTTTATTTTATCATAATAGTAAGAGGAATGTTAACAGTAACATTAACTGCAATGTAGAAATTAGTAGGCAAGCATATTATGAGCACCATTACAGAAATTAATAGAAGCTTTGTGCTGATAGAAAAGTGATTAAAGTGAGTGCACTTCAATATTGCAGTTCATTTTACGCATTACTAATATTTTTGTCTATTATGAACTCATCTCACTCTTACTACCGTCTACATTTGTGATTTTTAACAGCCAGTAAATTTTGACTAATGAAAGAATATACACAAATAATTAATTCAACCAAAACGCACCTTTTTACATAGCAACATTAGTTATTAAAATGTACACATCAATTAATTGAATTTAAATTAATGTACTTGAATCTTAAGTACAACAAAAAATAGTTTTCTCGTAAGGTAGTATGCATCTTGATAGTAGAAAATAACATTTAAATTTAACTACATAATTACATTTTACAATATTAAAACCTTAATTGGGAGTGATGCGAGTATTTATTTGTATTACTTTAATGTTAAAACAACAGTCAGTTATCACACTACATGATTTATGAAACATTACGATCCTACATGTTGTAGCTTCATAAGTCATTCATTACTAGAACACTAGTTAGCTGCAGAAGCGAAAGTTTTTTATTTCCAGAAAGCAATTGAAACTACATATAAGATATGATTTGAAATCACTCATAATTCTTTACTATTTGCTAAATTTAGAATAAGTGTAGTTCATTTTAAACTTACTCATGTTAATGTTATCACTCAGTTGTGCACAATGGTAGTAAGCAAATGTTCACACTCTGTTCTCTCACTCAACTGAGATTCAGTTCCGGCACTATATTGTACATATATTAAGCTATCGTTCATTTCACACACATGGATCCAGCCGAGTTGATGCTAGATGATCTACACTTCGACCCTTTTGCATCTGTAAACTAAGCTCGTTCGGTTCCATCGTGATGTGATGCGAAGAGGTGCGCTTGTGTTTCGTTTCTGGCATCTTAGAGTCCTTGGAGCTGGTCCGGCGGTGGCGCAATACCCCACCGGTGTCGATGAGGCGCTTGCTCTCCTCGTCTGCACAGCGCGCCAGCGGCAGTACGGTGAGGTCCAGGCTCTCCATGCTCTTCAGCGCCAATTGCTTGAGCTGGTCCAGGCTTAGGTCGCGCGAGTCCGAGCGCGAGTGCACCTTGAAGTCCCGCGAGCCGGAGCGCGAGTGCGCGGGCAGGTCGCGCGACGCGGAGCGCGGGAAGTCGCGGCGCGAGTCACGCGAGTCCCGCGAGTCTCGCGAGTCTCGCGAGTCGCTGCGCACGGCGCGGTTGCGCTCGGGCTCGTCGAGCGAATGCTGGCGCGCGCGCGGCTCCAGTTGTATGGTCTTGGAGTCGTTGCGCAAGTGTCGGGAGGCGACGAGGACGCGGGAGTTCTTCCCGCTGGGCCCTCGTGTCTGCGAATCCTCCGAGTATTGAGACTCGGTACGTTGCAGTTTGGGTCGGTACGGGTCGTGAGCGTCGCCACCTCCTGTCGGGGGCTCCATCGGTGTCGTAGTGGCCGAGCTTACACCTGACATGACACCAGACCGGAAGCCACTCGCGTTGTCTGCAGATGGAAGTTCTTCGAAAACTGTAAAGGGATAAAAATATATTTAGACCTAATAAAATAACTTGGTATGTAATTAGTTGCTGGAAGTAAGTAACAAACGGAATCTGTCATACGTTTGTCGAGACTGATGATGGAGCCGGCGATGTCTTTGTGAGGATCAAGTGGAGGAGCAGTTTCCAAGTGTCGCCGACGTCGCACGAGCCACCAGTCGGCCATGAATATCCCCAGCGCCACAATCTTAATACCACCGCACAGTCCAACGTATCTGTACAAAAACAACACCAATTTAAGTAAGCACATAACAAATAAAACAACTTTATAGAACACAGTTTAGCATTACTCTGATTCTTTTAAAATTGAACATAATATCATTATGGTGGCATTAAGTGATGTAAAGTGCACCTCTGCCTACCCCTTCGAGGACAAAAGACGTGATGTTATGTTCATATAATTGCTTATTTATTACACTATCTGTAGAAATATAGGTACACATTATTTGTGGAAAGTGCATGATACCTGTATCTGAACTGTTCTATATCGTAGAGCAGACACCGGCCACCCTTTTCTCCGCTGCAGGACTGTTTCCACAGTAGGCACGTCGAGTCAATGAGATTACCGAACACGATAGGAGCAGGTATATACCCGAACAGACGGAATATCACGAACTGCATGCCCAGTGCGAATGAACGTTCTTCTTCGCTCACGGACCTTTAAAAACAAAAAAATAAGAATGTACATACTTAAACGCTGTTAGTTTCAATACATTCAATTCATCTGTTTTTGATCACGTAATGATAATAATGTATCAATTTCAAATACCTATGAAGATATAACTAAAGACGAAAAATGTTTTTATTACGATTAGAAAACGTTACCTTAGGACGATCATCAGAAGCGGCATTTGTGTAACGGCGACGACGAATGTCATGAAGAAGAGTAGCACGAGGAAAGGGAAGATGGTGGTACAGGGAGGGTTGCAGGCGCCGGCCGTGGCCACCGGCACCACCGTGACCTCGGAGTAGTCCGGCGCGCCCCCCCCCGCGCCGCGCAGCGCCGCCGCCGCCGCGCCCTCCACCACCACACCCCCCACCGCCCCCACTCCCCCCACTCCGCGACTGTTCTCGTGCACACCTGTACATACTCACATTTCAAATCTACATGCTCAAACTATAATTATTGAAATTATCATACGAAGACAGGAAATCTGGAGACCTAGTTTTGTCAGTCATTCTAATTAAAAGTAGGTACCTACACCACGCCGCGTCGTTTATATATAACGACTGTGCCCCACAAATGTGAAATCATAATGTTTATGAGAGAGAAATAACAATATTCGTATTTCGTACAGCTAACTTACATGCGCAGTTAGTAAAGTTGGAGCGCGAGGAGAAGGCGGCGCAGCCCGCGTGGCACGGCGAGAAGTACGTCAGGCCGTTGTTACCGCATACCGGCTCCATGTCTGTCTCCGTGCATAGGCAGTTGAAATTGCACGCCGCCGTCAGATTCACTTTAAAAGGCTCCAAATTGCTGTAAAAAATAAAGTCTACTTAATATCATATAAATAAATCACAAATTATGTTATTTATCGAACATTTTAATTTCAATCCACATAGACAGGACTAATAATAGGACCTATAAAATGTATTTTACCTATGATTTGTATACGGTATCGTGGTTCCAGCCATCTTAATGTTGTCGCAGCCGAGGAAGAACAGCAGAGCGTAACAAGAGAGACAGATAGTGTTTGATATGAGCACGAACTGAACGGCGCCTTTAGGACGTAGCTCCAGCCGTTTTAGTAGGCAGCCACCCATGAAAATACCGATGCAGGCACCGGGATAGCGATGGAACCTGTAAAACATATATGTGAGTGTCAGAAACGAGAGGACTACTAGCTACAATTGATTGAATAACTAGGTAATTTCAAAAATACTTCAGGTCTTCATGGTATCTCTGCTGTTGAATTGTCTCAATACAAAACATGAATGTCAGTTGAAGATTAAACTATTACGATTAGGTTAATACTACTTAATTGAAGTGTTTTCATATATTTTATTTTCATTACAAAGAAAGGTTAAAAAAAGGTTAAGAAATTATCGTAGGAGACAGTGCAAAAACATGTTATTGTTATCAAATCTTACCAGTAAAAACGCTAGCCTGGCTCTTGCCGAGGCTGAATTGCGTTTCGAGGTATTTGGGCAGGAAGACGACGAAGCCCGATACGATCATGAGCTCCATGCATGCTCCCAGGCACGTGACCACGTACACTGGGTTCTTCAGCAGCCGCCACATCGATACTGGTATGTCTGGGGATGGGGAGTAATCAGTATTATTAGGTATCATCGGTAGAAAGCACATGCACAAGACACCCAACGTGAACTTGTACTTTCTATTAGTATTAAAAGCAATTATGTAGTTTGTCCGTGATAAATAATATTAATTCAAAAGGTTTGTGGTACATACTCTTTCTTTATTGAAACAAAGAGTTTCCTTTTCCTTGTATAGAAACACTATTTTTATGGATTGTCAGTATGAATATGGGAGCACCATGTTAGACTATAAGATTTTCTTTATTTTTATTATTTTAGTAAGGTTTGTAATTAGTACCTATAATGCGTCAAGCGTGTCATTGCATTGTTCTCACATATACGTACAGTATTGGAATATGTATCAGAGACATTGTAGAACATACTTTTTTAAAAAGAGTAACGAATGGAGTTTCTTGCTCGTTCTTCTCCATTCGAATCTACATTTTGAAATGAGCGTCTAGCTTCACCTAGCTTCACTAACGGACTGACTGACAGACTATTATTTATTTTGTATTTGTTGACGTTTCAAAAGTACCTTTATGGTTTAATTGAAATAAATGCTTTGACTTTGACTTTGATACCCATGCAAAAAGTTTTCAGGTTTGAAATATCTTAAATAATTACAAAATGTTTGTATTAACATTCTATAAGTTAAATAAAACACGTTTCTTTACCTTTGATATCTTTTCCGTACCCCGTGTCCTTAATATCTGTCTGCGACTTGACGGGGGTTTGGATGTGGATGCTCCACTTGCAGCTGCTGCTTTCTCTACTAGTCTTATCTTCTCTTTTTCTCGTATCAATACTTTTGGAAACGAGAAGAAGGGAATCGCAACTAGGATTAGGAGGAATCCGCATAGCAGGAAACCACCCCACCACATGCCAACCCATCGGTGGTCACCGGGATCTAGAAAATTTAAACAAGAAATTAAATAAGGACATATATAAAATATCTTAGTAAATAAGAAGTAAATCTCGCTATACTATACAATTATAATTATAACATACCTAACATTATTTCGTAATAAGTTAGAACATGAACATGATAGTGAAGTAAAGAATGATTACTTACCTATAGAGATGATAGCGCCGGAGAACGAGTCCATGTGGAAAGATAGTAAGTATGCACCGAGTAGGAACCCGAGTACCGGGCCAAAGGCAGCCATACTGTACATACATCCTGTAAACAAAACAATTACTACACTCAATAATCAGCTGTTGATGCGACAGCTGCTGCTGTAGGATAGGTGGTACCCACTATTCCATACAGTCTACAGCGACTATTTGCCAGATAGTGATACTAATAAACTTATCGTTTAGTTGATTTTTAGTACCTATACTCGTATGTGATGTACAGCAAAATTAAGTTTTCGAAGAAGAAATGATTAATGAATTACCCAGATTATAAATTATACACGACCTAATCTGATTATCGCGATAACCTAATTTTGTGTGTCTACATAAATATTAAATAATGTAATCGGACAATTGTGATTTCCCTATGTGCACATTACGAAACTGATAATGAACGCTATCAGTTACAAAGGTCAACCGTATTGTCCTTTTGTGACGTGGCGTGTGGACAATGTTTGAAACAGTAAGTGCACCCGGCACAGCACATCGATGTGGAAAGTAGGTCACTTTTGTTTTGTGATATTGCAAATGGCGCGGATTTCGCCGCTAATATCCAAGATGTATATAACCCCCAAAATAGCAACGCCAGAGATAATTTTATATCTCCATTTAGTTAAGAATAATAGAGGTGCCTACTTATACTATAAGTCACAGTTTACCGACGCTGAAAAAATCGACCGAATAACATTGCTGCTACAGAGGTAGGTACGTAGGTAGGTGCAATGTTATTCGGTCGATTTTTAAAAAGTAGTAAGTAGGTAGCTACTTACATAGAAATAAATATTAAGAATACACGCGGTGTAACATGTGTATTGTTTATGACGTAAGATTATTATGAAATCGTTGCGTGTTGGTCGCTTCTATAATTTTAATATTTATTCGATTTTCCGGACGTCGATATTGTGCGTTGTGGGGTGCAAGAGATAAATTTGAAAATTAACCGACCGACCGGATATAGACCTAGCTAAGCATAGACTAGAAACTAAAAGATCCAGAATCTCTCAAAATAAACCAGTAAAACCTTAAAAATACATCACTACGCATAATAAAATAAAGCGGACATAATTCGATCGATATAGACCTCTTTCTGGCGATACGAGAGGCTCTCGTATCCAGGTCGCGGCTATAGGAGTCTTAAACCAAAGAGTGCCTTATTAAAATCCCTCCCCTCATTCCCTCAATGACGCTACACCGAAGTAAGGCGAGAGAAAATAAATTACAATGATTCTTTGATCGGATTCAAAAATATTTATATTTGATTGAACTAAACTCCTGCAAAGTATGATTCATATCGTAAGTATACTGCGACAAAATATTTGTTCCAATAGCTTTTTCAGAATGGTAACGTTAACTTTGTTCTCATTGGTTGTATGATATAAGAGAAGTAGGTCAAGGGCGTTGCTCACGACTACGGTTAATTTTCAAGGCACTGCATTTTCATCGTGCCAGCCCCTACACAATGTATTCAATATAGGTTTAGCGGTAACATTTAGCGCGTCTGTGACGCTCCAAAATATTTTTTCAAATTCTGTTAGGGATTTGTGTTATTTATAAGGTCGAAGGGCCACGGCCTCCTTTTTACGTTCTGCATAAATTATGATGTGCATAATAAATCTAATTCAGTTTACGCAACGTTCATTAGCATTTCCATCAGTGCGCGTGTAGGATTGTACATAAATTCGAATAGCTATAATATCGTGTGACCAGACCAATTCGTACGAATGATGTTGACAGTTTTCAACTTTTATATAAATTGATGCTTGAATTGCTCTAGTTATGCCTGTAATACAGCATTCTGGTTAGCAGTCTCAATTTTCAACTGAGATCATAAACTTACGCGGACTATTGACCGAACCTGTTTGCTACGTTTTTCTTTCTAGAACATTCTACACAGATAACTACATACTTACAACAAAGAGCAAGTTCGGGTTCATCGACCTTTCACGTGAATTCATTTAATAAAATGGATCCTGCAGTTTTATTGCGTCCCCGTGTCGATGAATCACACATATACACATATAGCTATGAGACGGGTAAGTGTCTATGATAAGGTTTTATATCTTTACCAATAGGTATGTATATAATATTTTTACATGGATGAATCTACCTACTTCATTATGAATATTGATGTGACAGTGATAAAGTATAAAGTACCTAGGTACTTACTTTCTATCTTATAACTATGGCCTTTGGATTCTAAATATTTACAGTCTGCAGTTAGTAATGTATTTAGGGCTGTACATGTGTTCATAGTGAGCGCGATGCAAATAATAACGTAAACGTGTTATTATCCCGTACACAATGATGGCCAACATTGTTATTTTGTATTGCTAGAAATGTTAAACATACTGAAATTAAGGTTTTTTTTTTATAGGATAGCATTGATTGATATATTTATTGTTATTTTATTTCATTTCATATTCTGTAAACACGTAGAAAGTTATTGGTAGCAATGTGTTATTGTTTTCACAAAATAACCGTAAAAATAATTCAGAGGTGTTGGAGTCAAATAAAGTTCGGTGACTCGTCTATGTAGTTTATGCACATTTTATGTGAGGGGACACTGAAGCCAGGCATAACACACATGCAACCGTTCTAACGATATGAAGAGGACACGCGGCCACTATAATAAACGTCACGACACAATACTATTGAAGTCGTTTCAAAGTTAACAAAGGGTGATAATAATTTATGACATTTGCAGTGTGCTTGCCCTTGCAGCGATACATGATGACGAGACTCCAACATTCACTACTGTCTGCTGGAATATTGACAAATCCAAACTAAGATAGGACGAGAACGTCGGGGTCATGTTACCAGTGTTTAATATCATTTAATCTATTTCAGGATGAAAGAAGGAGCTGACAATTGATCCAAACAGGATGAACATTAAACTCGATATGTGAGTCATCGGTATACATTTAGCGAAGTAGCTGAACGAGTTGTGGTGTCGTGATGATGCAAATGCTACGTGGAACACAACTCTCCTGTAGTGGTAAACCTTCCAGTCATTTATGCATTTAGGATGAATATAGCAAAATAGCGTAGTATAATAGCGTATAAGGTTAAACGTAAAAAATGGTAGAAAATTTCATCTTATTTCTTTTAGTGGCTATTGGTGATACTTAAGTGAACAGACTTACCTATATACATGCTGGAGGACTCCGGTCGCACGTGGTCGTCCACGTAGGTGGTGCCGAGAGTAAGCAGAGGCGAGCCACCGCACCCCAGTAACAACTGCGCCACTATGAACACCATCACAGGCATAAAGGTGCTCGGGGAACTCTGGCAAAATTATGTAATTGTTAGTCATGGATAAAAACTCTTTACATTTTGCTAAACTGTTTAAGTTGAGCCATATTGCTATAGAAGTAAAAGTTGGTGCATGAGCACACATTGTTAACATCGCACTGCGATTACAAACCTATGATATAATCAACCAAGTAAGCAGTTTTATCTCTAGGTGCATGTAACCAAATAAAGGAGTTTCGTCTCTAAGTGAATGTTAATGTTAAACAAATTGCAAAATGTTGTCTTATTTATGTTTAAAGTGTTACAAACCTTAATACAATTATCTGGCCTCAAGTTGCTGGGTGGTAAGCCCTGTGAGAGGCGCCCCAAGCCGCCCATATCCTGTTCCAGTGCACGTGGCAGTCGACAGATGTTGTCGTCAGATTTATTGTTCATCAAAGTTTCGCTATTCACTTCCGCTATAAAATGCGGAACGACGAACACTAACGAGCCGATGCCCATAATTACAGCACCTACAATAATAAACCTCATAAACATTCTGTACGTAAGTAGATACTGGGGAAATGAATTACTTTTAAAGAATAGATAGATATTTGTTTACTAACCAATCTGTTCGACCAGGGCAAGGTCATAAGAAAAGTCAATAATATAAGCTCAAAGGCCTTGCATAAACCACAAGCAAATAAGATTTAGAAAATTTTGCAATAAGTTAGTGAGGCCATTGGAATGAGGGAAGAATTTATTGACTTACCGACTGCAATCCAGACTGGAATGTGTCTCCGGCTGCCGAGGTAGGAAACGAAGATGACGGTAATGACGTTACCGATCTCGTAGCTGCTCGCGATGAGCCCCGACAGACTTGACGGGATCTCGAAACGTTTCTCGATTGTGGTGATCACAGAGTTTATGTAGCCGGAGCTCAATGCTTGTTGTAGAGTTACCAGGAACGAAAGGAAAAATACAAACACCTGAAAAGTGGTCAACGTTAGAGAATATATTGAAACTATGAGAGTAGCAATAACAGGTATGATCTATTTGATTCTGTCGGAACTTACTTTAATACTAGAAAATCTCTGGATGAAAAGCGGTCTCCATGACAAGATACCGCAATCTCTTGCGTCATGAGGAATGTCTAATATTTCTGGGTACATTTGTCGGGGCTTTTCTCTTTCCTTGTCCCTCTCGCGGTCTCTATAAACAGAAAGAAGATAACGTAATTGCGTTCCTTAGTTCCTAAATAATCAACTTTTAATTTATGCTATTAATTCCGTGTACATTACAGCTGCTGCAAATAAAACTATTCACGGCGTGTGCGCAGGCCGACGGTCTGACAGGTATTTCTTGATTTTCCTTTGGGTCATCTAACTCTTGACATTGGCAAACGTAACAACATACTAAAACAATCATGTGTGTGTTGAGCTGTGCGATCTGGTGTAAATGAGTTCGTCAGTTCCGGTGTCGTATTAAGTGTGATTGAGAAGAGAAGTTATGTACTCAAATCATTTTAATAAGTTGTCGCTCATAGACTTATCATCTATTTATAACATCTGCACATTACTAGTAGTTGGTTAAGTCAGTTCAGTATATAGTGCTGTAGTTTACCTGTCGCATACGCCGGCCGACGGGTTTCGGCTGTGGCATTTGACGGATTCCCGCGGCGGGTGGGACGGGTGCGGTGGGGTGCTGGGCCCAGCCTCGTCTCCGGCGCCCTCCGTGCAACCAGACTCCGCGTATAATCCCGTCATTGCGTACATTGACTCTTGCCTCCTGAAAACCAAACTTACATTAATATATGACATTATATCGTTAATTCATTATCTTTTAGTAGTTAATTTATTTATTAAAACTATATTGCACATACAGTGAAATTGGCGGATTTAATGCCGTAGGCATTTTCTGACAGTTTAATTTAGTTGAAGGGGACTGTATTTCGATATAGTTTTACATACATACCTAATTATTTTCGTAATTAGTCGTAATTGCTTTCCATGTATAATTCAATTATAGTTAACAAATAATAAAAAACAACCACCACCAAATGGCAAAGCACATTAAGGTACGTAGGCGGTAGGTACCTAACTACATAGTATTTCCAAGCCAACACAGCATGCCTAAGTTGCGGTGTATTGTTTCAATGCCAAGTTTTTATATCCAACTATCAAATATAACATGAGACATGCAACGCTTGAGAATATATGAATTTATAAAATAAAAGTAGTTGTAAGATATAGACGAGGGTCCTCATAACTTAGCATGCACAACTTGGGAGCTCTATGATAGCTTATGGGTCCGTCACACCAGTCACGACAAACTTCGCAATGATAAATGGTTTGAATGTCAGCCAGCCTACATACAAATGACCCTTTCAAACTGGTCCACATAACTTGGTACTTCGCTTTATGCCTCTTTTTTAATAATCTAGTATTTTATCTGCAGATCGTTCATACATTCATATCGCATCAAATAGGTATCATGTATCATTTCTACCGCATCCGGTGATTTCAAATATGTATTATTACGATAAAAACTATGATCTGTTTCCTAAATGTTACAATGTTCAATGTTGACAGGGTCATTGATGTATCAGCAGACCTACCTACTTACGTGACAACTACGTTTTTGCGCATTGTTTTGTCACTATTGTGTTTTTGCGGTTAACGGAATTAAAGGCTTTCTAGGCAATAGATAGGCATTTAGTAATGATGGAAAGTGCAAAGAGAACGGTGGGAAATATTGCAATGTGAGCATTGTTTACATACAGACAAGACAATGTCTGTCATCGAACGGGTACCGAGAAATTGATGGTTTTTACAAATCGTCATTAAGTATTACAAGTACAAATTAATACCTATACCTGTCCAGTAAATAATTTAATTGTTCCATTTTTTCCGGCATACTGGCACTAGTCACAATAACTTCACACACACTGCTGACGGCTAAACTTCCTTATAAGATACAACATAAATGATATTTATGATAGTTCAGACGAAAATTGTTATATCATAAGCAGTTTTTGTGAACACATCTGCAAGAACGTTGTGCCTGCCACAGCGTATCATCAGTACTAAGATGACTAAACTTAAAGCTTTGTCTGCTGTGGGTGATATCAGAGCAGCGCACGATTAGGTACGAATATGGGCCAGGTGTTGCAAACCTTACTTTATCACTGATATGACGAGTACACGACGTTATCGCACTAAGGGACCAAGGATTTTGTTTGTTCCATTCAAACAGGTGACGGGGACCGGGTAATCTTCCTGGATATTTACAGCTGATTATCCGTTGAACTCATTAGATATCGACAATTATTAAACCAGTAAGTGAATGATGCCTGGGGCAGTGTCAGCTGTTGTTATGCTTAGCTAAATGATACTAGTATTACATGATACATCTGGTTGTATAAAAACATTCAACGACTGAATTTGAATCATAACAACGCTCAGACTAGGACCACCTAAATGACTAGCAAAGTTTGAATACTAAGTTACTGCAATGTGCAATACACATGTGCGGCACGTGAACTCGACTGTATACTTTAGACAAACATCTAGGTGTACGTTGGAGCCTAGCCCAGCTTCGGATAGGTGGAGCGGTACGTGTGGCGTAACTGGCCTTCGAGACACCGGTGCTTTTAACCACTTATCAAATATATCTAATATTTACCTAGTCACGTGAGATAAGCCCTATCTAGTCTGAACATATTTATAAACATTTTCGCTTTTTAGATAATCCAATGATTCACTAATAGATACCGATGTTTATATCAATTTTCTGTATTTGCTACACAGGTATTAAAATGAGTCAACATTGAATTCAATGGAAAGATATCAGTAACGATTATCTTGAATGATAATGTATGATAAAATGACCTCGTCGTCGAGGGGTACCACTAAGTATTCATACACGAGGAAAAACAACAACATTATGGTTAAAAACTGTGTTTACTTGAACAATATTTTAATGTAATGTATGTTCTAGCCAATAACTAATGTAGAGCAACGTTTCTAGTTTCGTAGATAAATAACATATTTAAGAGATAAAACGGATCGTGTCCGTGGGAAGACAGTGTTGTTTTGTAACGATCAAATGACTGTTTTGATTCCGCATTCTGTGATTCTCAGTCTCAGCGTACATTTTACTCATTGGAGAACAATGTCAGCATAAATGCAATATTGTATATGTATTTATCAAAATACATAAATGCCGCTCATAACAATTTGGTTCCGTTCTTAATGAAAGACAATAAAAGGAGAACATATTGATTTCACGGTTCAATACATTCGTACGTAATAATTGCAATTAACAAACCGACTCGTTGACTACTGCGATACTGCGGAGTGCGGAGCTAATTATGAAACAATTGTTTAAATTGCAACAACTCATAGTGGTCATTTACTTATCACATTGGATAATTAATTAAACAGAGATACCGCACTGAAGAAAGAGCGGTTTTCATTAATTAATGGCAATAAATGCGCCGCGTCCTTACTGCGGAAATTTGATTTTATTACATTCGTATAAGAAAATTATCCAGCAAGAAATATTGACCGGTGAAGTTTTTATATGTTTAATTAATTATTGTATATCGCAACGTAACCGACATTAATAATTAAAGTTCGGTATAATAAGTTCTTGCCCAGGAAAGTATTAATAGTGGCCTGTCTTAGTGTTTGCCGGCACTCATTAAATTCATCAATTTTTAGATTACTGTACACTGATCTGTTATTTATACGTTATCCATTTATTTGCTCGATCCAGCTAACAAATTTAAATGACCCGAAAGTTCAACGAACAAAGAGTACCAACCAAAGCTAATTCTATACAGTGATAAAGCAAGCAGCAACGTGCAATCGAAACGAGAAGTGGGTCATCATAATAATTCATGAAAGATACTCTCGTGAACCAGAGCGCATAGAAACATCAATTTTATTTTGTAGCATTGGGTTCTGAATTGGAGCTACCAAGTACAATTAGTCCGTAGCAGTATCTGTACCGATATATACCTAACAGACATGTAAGTATCGGTAAATACAACATCGGCAAACTAGTATATAAAATGCAAAAAATGTAATTTGACTCAACCATATCCGATACGCATATTGGTTTTGGATAGGAACATAAAGGCTTTTTGTTTATCAGTGTCCTACCGAAGCTCAGAGTTGCTAAAACAGTTTTACAGTACTGTCCCAAATAACTCTATTCATGAACAGCGAATGTTCAGAATTGAGTTTAAATTGTACTCGACAGAATAGCCATTGTGTTTTGTCTATGTCACGTCAGGTCGTTCAAAAAGGATGAGTGAAAGTTTACCTAAATCGTTTTCAACTAAGATGACATCATTGTCTAATTCATTCAGGTTTCACTTGAATGTTCTATAGAGCAGTAACAATAGATTTTACTTTTTATGAAATTATATCATTAACGGGTTAAAAGTAATATATATTTTTTAAATAAGAATCTGTACACCTATTTACTCATTTTGAATTATATTAACATACAACTTAACTTCACGCCTTTTATCCCCGAGAGGGGTAGGCAGAGGTGCACATTATGCCACTGTTCAATGTATCACCCACTTTTCACTATTTATGTTATGAGTCCCATGTAATAGGGGGTGAGCCTTTGAAGCAATGAATCACTGTTCTAGTGTGAACATGGCGATAGCATAGGCTGTGTGAAATTAATTATCTGACCTGTGCCCCTTCCTGTGCTGTGGCGCGGCGTTGGTGCCGCCTGCATTCTGTTGCCGTTCTCCCTCCGTCATCTTGTTGTAGGACTCCGCGTCTCACCGCACGCCCATACCAGTCTTCACTTGCACACTCCTCCACCTAATAACAAATGCAAATATTTTAAATCTTTCCTAAAATAACTGATAACCACATTTGCAATAAACAGAATTGACTGTACAGATTGTTCCAAAATGACGTAACATTCGCATGCCGTCAGAAAACCCCTGTTCAGAGTGTTTTCGACATTGAAAACTAATGCTAGTAACATGTATGCGGACGGACAGGTGAAGAAGCTATAATTAGTTTTGTCATAACATACCCACGCTTTTCGTGAATACATAAAGAATGTACGTACTCTATGTACTGTTATGTATTACAAATGTTAGAGTTCATTATGTGTCCCATCTGGTAGTCTGCTAACATTAATGTGCTTTTGGATAACTTCCAGCATTACTGGAGTAAAAAAACCTTAATATTTACAAATAAACGTATTATTAGACGTGCTGTATCGATCGGAAAATTTCGCAAATAAAATGTGTACCATAAATTAAAGGTAAATCGCTATATAAAGCTGACACGGCAAGGTCACACTGACGCCTCCGCGCCGAAGGCTGACGGTTCCTCACTAATGGCTTTTGGACTAAGGGCCACGCTGGCACGTTAGTCAATAGGTTCACGTAATATTTTAGTGTTCCAGATACAACTATCAATTATTATTATGAAACGTATGAGTCATGCCACATAAAAACAATAGATCAGCACTTTTTATGTTTACGCTACATTAGCAAAATTAACGAAAACAATGTTCTGAACATGAATTCTAAATGCACTTCAAATACGTATTTAATTAGGTATGAATCAATGAATTATTGCATTCTCAGTTTATTTCTAACCGCTGAACTAGACTTTTAAGTTACTCAGAGAAAAAGCAGACGTGAGGAATGATAAAACAAACCTAACTAACATTTTATATTGAAATTCAACTCTTTGAAGATCCACCTTTACTGTCTCTTCATAAGATATTGACAATTTACGACATGTTCTTTTGTTCTTTACGTCAAGTGGTTTTTAAACATTATTGGTGGTTAGGAAGAATAATAAAATCTTTTATTAGATATTCCAAATATGTATGTCGCGGTGGGTTAACTGGTTATTATTGGCGGGATGATTCTGTATCAATGACCCCCTGCGTTGTGGTTTCTACCATATGTTTCTTTGTGATGACGATGTTTCAACAGACGGTTTGTTTACTTATGCACAGGTGGCTAGATACTGGCGTCAATACCAACTCAAGATAATAAAAATTATAATTACAGTTTTACGTATTCAGCTTTCATGAAATTGTTATTTAGCGCTACATTATAACTCCATTCTAAAATCGTTATTTTTGCAGAGACTTATCTCAGATCTAGTATTTTTAATATACATACTTACGTCTAATATGTATGAAGTACATCCATCCCTCCACTTCAGTTTTTGGAGCAAAAGGTAGAATGTAATAAACAAAGAGAAATAAACCAGGATATTTGTATCAAGTACCACGTTCGAATTAAGTGGCTAATGCAAGTCGTTCACATTTCTGAGAACATACTCCAATTCGGTTGATTGCGGTCAAACTGCCGGCAAAATGTACCCCGTGCTGGGTACGTACGGTATCTAACGGGAAATATATGCGGTCATTACTTCGTGCAAACGCAAAAATGCCATGTCTATACCATCTATAGTTATTGCTAATATTTATCGTAAATATTTACTAGCTATAAAAACGGTAAATTGTCCGTAAGTAGTTTGTTGAACGTTTAAGTTTGAACATTAAAAATGGTATTATACGGAAATAAATGGTCTCCTTTAACCTAGTTTAATATTTCAAGTCACTGAACGATTTAAAAATCTACGAAATATGGCAAAAAAACGTTTGTTGTATGGGAGCTCTTTAGTAATTTAATTTTATTGTTACATCGGCAACATACAAATTCGTGACATATAGAGTGGTGACAATCAGATGGAAGGATAACGTAATAACAAGGTTCTGTTTTTATCTTATGAGAACGGCACCCAAAACAGTAATATTTGTGTAGTGAAATACCCGATTCTTGATTTTCAACGTCATTAATATAACTGTATAAGTAATTGCCGTTGATACGACGCAATACCAAAATTCTGTAGTAACTTGCAAAAAAATATACCCAAAATGTTTTGTGTTAGGCTTAAATGAAATTTTACCGTTCTGGTTTTAATTTACTATCGACACATCGTGGTTAGACACTTAATTAAATCGAGCTGCCGCGGTTTTACGTCCTAATATCCAATGTAGGAAAGATTTAGGTCAACAAACCGGGATGATAAAGTTGTATCGTGCAAATTAATTATTATTAAACGAACAAAACAAAGTGGTTACTTATACGGGTTCCTCAGCCGAAATTGTTAGTTCACGGTGATCAAAATTAGCATACTTGTTTTAATATCATTTACACGATGTCTGAAGGAGTTGTCCGACAAAATGTTATTTATCAGTTATGCGAAATTCATAAATGTATTATTAAATCATTTAAAAGCGTTGAATTCGCGCAAGTAACGGCAGTGAGAACAGTATAATGAACACAAAGTGGGCTCTCACGGTTAGTGTTACAGCGTTCATCGTTATAACTGTCCACCTAGCAGCTGAAATAGTACAATAAATGATAGTGAAACCACATATTGAGGAACATAATTACACATTACATAGTGGCGTAGCAACGAGTTGATTTCAAGTCCACAACTCTTATGCACCGTAAAATATTGGATCATTGTGACGACAAAATCGAGTCTGACGATACAACAATGGTAGTACAATGTGCAATGCATGCTTGTTTGCAAAATTAAAAATGATGACAGAGCTACGAAACAGTAAACATTGCGATGAAAGAACACAGGTATGATACCGATTCATGAATAGAGTCGAATATAATTGTCGTGGAGACAGGTAGACGTAAGGATATAACTGTACACTAAATGAGGGCTCTTCAATGAAGACCTTGCGATATAATAGACACAGCAGATGCTTTACGACGACGCCCCGTTCACCGTATGGCAGACGGCAATGTTGCTATAGGTAGACAGGTTATATTTATGGCGCAAAAATAGTAATAACCTATAGAACAGAACTCAAATCTTTTTAATTTTACCTGTCACAGTTATTGTTTAGGTTTATTAGTATTCATTACGCCTGACGAGTTGGGTGCATTCAAACAATGCAACGAGAATTTATGTTTACAATATTTTTATAGCTTTAATATTATAATGCTAACAAATATAAACTTGCCAGTTACCAACCAGAGTTGGACATGGTTGGACCTTATTAACGTGCCATTCCATTGTTCGTGTATGATTACAGTACCTCTTAAGATTTGTAATACTTTTTATTCTAAATATTATATGTCTTCGAAGAAGGTCAGGGTTGTAGTCATAACTAGTTGCAGTGAGTATTGAATGGCTTGGATACATCATAGAATCGACAAAACATCCTGTCTTGTGAAGAGGGCGCATACCTGCATTGTTATGTAACAATTTCGCAGAGTAGGACGGATGCCAAAATTTCACTCCGCGCCGACTGCTGCCGGTCGCCTTTTGGGAGAATCGGAGAATGTTTTTACTGCGGGACCGAGTCGAGACCGCAATATAAATGATTTTTAAATTCTAACATAACATCTAACCACCGCTGCGTGTCCGCTAAACATCAGATTTGTATTACATAACTGTAGTATAGTTTTCCGCTTTCTACGTTGTTAACTAAGTTTAAGAACAATAAATAAAAAAATACATGTTAAGATAAATAAGTAATTTGCTCCTGTTATTGTTAGGTTATGTTGGAATAGTTATGTATGTCAGTACGTTTAGTCAATACACGTACAATGAATTAAAATTAATTAATTATATTTAATAAGTTGTACTTGCGTTCCAGTTCCAAACCGATTTGGGGAAAAGCTTTAGTAATACAAATAAGTAAATCGTAAATAACTTCGACTTTCCCTAATCCAGAACTATGCCGAACATGTGTTTTGATATCGGCAGAGGATAGATTGTAATTCAACTTTTGTAATTTTGTACTATCGATATAAATAAATATGCAATATAAGTAGAAAGTTACGTTTTTAACTATTAATATTTTTCCTCCTGTGTTCATTGTTAATCGATAAGCATTGGAATGTATTTATTCTTATTTCATTAAAACTATTTTATCAGTTAATAAAATAAAGTTAATCAATTTTAATGAACTACTAGGCGCTTAAACCGTTGCATTATATAAAGTGTTGCATGAAAGAGTCAATGTCAATACCCCGACCACATCATGTCAGATATTTTATGATTTTTATTGACAATATTATTTTGCCAAAAACTGGTGTTTAGATTGGCAGAAGAACATGGCTATATGGAACTTATCATTTTAATTTAATGTTCATAACTAAAGTAATGATACTTTTAAACGACTATAATTAACTTCGAAATTTACAAACACACACATAGACAAAACGTCGGTAACACGTGGAATCCTTATAAATATGAATAGCATCTAAAGTAGGCTGATCATGTGAGCCGAAGCAAGGTGAAGGCTGGTCTTTTCAACAGCGGACGCGTCTTGTGCAAACTAACAATGGCACTCTGTACTCGTCTTTGAATAGCTACCATCTTTATTCTGCCTCAGCTCATATGGTAGTGATAATGCGCTATAGTGCTAATTCTATACGTTTGTTTAAAGCTCAGAATGCTAAATAAGCATCATTACATTACTCACGATTGTTTATTTTTATCTTAGTATCAATATTTTAATACGATGCGTTATTATTTGTAGTAATGCAAAAAAAAACAATCAATTTAATAGATTAACGGAAATACTTATTGCATGATTGATTAGCGTATTTTGTGGAGAAGTCATCAAAAGTTAAAGAGTATCCTTATTATCGCATGTTCTAAAATAGCGTGATTATAAAATATTTAATATTAAATAAAGAAAGTGTAAAGAAATAGTACCTACTCCACGTACACACAATCAAATTATATGTCGAACCAATTTTATTGTTTTAATTGTCTTTGTTTTAACAGATAATACAATTTTATTATGTCTGTGGATTAATAAAGTAATAGATACATACTCGCATTGCTAAAAGTTTCCATTTTAGTAATTGCGCTGCGTACCTTAATTGCTTTTATCGCATTTTGGAACAGACCAATTTATCAAACTAGCGAAGAATTAAATTCTTATTCTATGTCGATATTAAAATGACGAATAAAACTTCATATGGTGGAATTATTTCTTATCAATGTAAGTTATAATACAAAGTTACTCGCTTGATACTTTAACACTGTATCAGTTTAGGTAAATAAATTATTATTTTCCTCAATTACCAAGACAATTTGCCATTATTTTTGATACTGTTACGTATTCTCCTAAACACTATAGAAAGCGAATAAAAACAAAACGAAAAGTAGACATTTATGTAAATGATTGCTAAGAAAAAATACGAGTCTTGGCTTTCGAACAATCTCTAAAATATTGACTAAATAGTCAATGTAACAAAAAAATCAATGTAATGCATTAGCATTTTTTTATGTCAAATATGTATTTACATAGCATTAAAAAACTTACGTATAATTAGTTTTCAATAATGTTATATTTGCCTGGCGATGCTGTCAACACTTCACCTTATAGGCAGTCGTGATCTTAAAAGCATAATAAACAAGAATTGAGACTTTAAAGTATCGAGACTATCTGAGACGCGTCATGTAATAACAACACAAGTGTTTTAAATACATCGATGAATAAAAGATTCAATGTTATAAATCTGTTCGTAGAAGCTGTTGGCACAAAATGTAAACAAACAAATACGCCTCAAGATTCTCACAACATGGGGATGTTTCATGTGAAAGTAGGCGTGCGTCCAAGGTTAATAGGCTCGCCGCTACTGTCATGCCCATAGGTTACGGTCGATACAATGGCATTCTGACGAAGCGACTAGAATGTATTCCTTAACCACTAATTTGGAGGGTGCGTCTCTCCGCAGGCGCCGCACCTACGCGGTCGAACCGTTTCACACAAACCAAGATTAATCTTGGTTTACAACGGTACTAGCAAGCACAACAAACAACAAGTGAGTGTCAGCTGTTTTAGTTAAACATCGCTTCCAAAACGTTGCTCAAGTTGATAGATATTATCAAAAACAAGTAGCGCATGACCGGATTAGTGATGGGGTTACGTGAAACACATCAAACGATGTTGAATAACTTGAATAAATTGGTAGGCTTTTATAATTAATTAAAGCCATTAGGGAAAATGGTCGGTAGCGGTTTGATGTAAACCATGTCCGCAAGGTATTAAATATAGCACGCGTTATAATATGCATTGGGATGGGAAGCCATTGGTGTTCCATTTTGATGATCATTCAGACAACACGGTGAAACACTTTGTGTACATTTAGGTATTATCATCCTGGCAATTAGAAGCATTCTGAAGAAACACGCTTTGAAGCAAGATTTATGCTAATTTTGTATGATACAACTGCCAGTAATTACGACAAGGACGTTCAGATTTTCAGTAGATATGCGTATAGATACTAAGTGTTTTATACGTTTGGCCGGATTCATATACGAAAACGATACATTTTGCGAAAGTTTAATTTCAGTTGCAGTGGAACGAATTAGTTTCTGCTTTCAAACTCATAAACTGGACCGGAACTGTCGACTGTCTGTGTGTCCAAATAAAATGTACACTTTCATTATAGATATTATTGTCAGTCAGACAACGTAGTAAGTGACGCGTACCTGTCTACTGTGGCCAGCAGAAAACGTAAGGGAACAGTAGACCAACTCCTTACAATGTGTATAACTTTAATTCATTATGTGCTCACGCGCACTGAATGACGGTTTTAAGAAACATTAAACAGTAAACGAATGCGACGCGTTTCATGTTTGTTTTTGGTGTGCTACATAATTATGTGTTCTTTTTATGACATAAAAATATATTTAAGGAACATTGCAACATAGTGAATAATCACTTCAAAGAGAGGTATGAACTGCTATCCATACATTTTTAATATATATACATGATTTGATTCATTTTTAAAGATTTAGCATAGTATTTAACTAAATTAATTTGTAGGTAAGATGTAGCAAGTAAATATACTTCTGTGAGTATTCGTCATCTATGACTAGTGAGGTCCGTGTTAGTGCGTGCTCGGCCTCTAGTAGTCGCGTCACCGAGGGAAAGGCTGCGAGGCCGACAAGTCGGCGTGGGCGGACGCTGCCCGATCAGGACCGATTTAAATGTCAACTCTTTGTTACTTATTACAAACCTGATCTGTGATTTACTTTTGTTTTTGTCTGAACATGATCAAGGAAGAGAATTGACATTAGACTTGAATTTGATATTCATTTTTATGGAGTTACTGGAGAATGAAGTTGCTATAACGTTTTTGTATGTTTGATCCTTTGTTGTACGAACAAATAGTTCTTAGTAGTTACATCATTAATAGTTATCTGTTTTAAATTAAAACGGCAAAGCTCATGAATGAATTAGACCTCTCGTAATTTCACCTAAAAACCATTTACTTTGATAGTAATTGAAATCAGTTTGATCGGGTCGTTGCATTGTCATGACCTAGCAACAATTACTATGAATAACAAATTAAGGTTGAGACCTGTTGTTGCCAGGTTAAAGATATAGTGTACTTGAGAATTGTAATTATTATTTTAATTAAAATAAGGTTTCTGCCTGGCACGTATTAAGTGGGTGAGTGGTATATAGAGCACATGTTTATCAGACACGTTATTAGTTTAAGGCAATGTTTGAGGTAAATTAAAGTTTTAGGCGCCTTCTAAAAGTAAGCGGTACAATATGGAACAAAATAAAACAAGATATTTCACGAAAAAATCATCCCTTAATAATTTTTTAACATATATGATCCAAGAACAGTACGATATAATAAAACATGATGGTTAAAAATCATTTAGAAAGGTATTTGATGTCTAACAATACCGATGAATTACATCACAGAGCAATTCTAATAGCAATGAAAATTAAATCACTCGATCGCAAGACAGCATGCAATAAATACGTGCGACTAATTACTGCATCTCGCAATACATCTCGTAATTCAAGAATTAACTATCTAATGATATACAGCGATGTTGTAACTACAAACAGTATTATAAGTGTAAAACGCTAATCTAAGAATTTCTAAGTCTTCACACGTGTCCTTTGTCGAGGGCAAAGATAACGAAGCACTTTTCCACTGTTACTTTATGTCCTTGGAATAATGACAACGTTTATGGCTGTAGTACGCTGTAAATGAAGAACTATCCACATTTAATAAATAAGAATAGTCGATGGAACGACGGATAAAAGAAAATTAGGAGGCTGCGGCATGCAGGAGGCAGAGTGCAGTGGCAATGAACGATCGCCACTAACCTGGGGACCGGTTTGTCCGTCCAGACAAACATCCATGTCGAATGATGACTCACTTGTCGTCCAATTTATGTAGATGCTTATGTATGTAGACGAGACGTTTTTCTACAAAGCATCAGACAACAGATCCATTTAATTTCATCTACTTCTATGATTCATAGAAGAGATTGTTGCAATATTGTGTACGCAGTTTGTTATGCTGTCTAGTTTACGCCTTACGCACGCACATCTTGAACTTGAAATGGTACATTACGTACTAATTCAAGTTAACATTACAGAGATGGAACAGAGTAAATTTATAGTAAGAAATTGTAGAGTATTTCAATTTTATACTAAGTATCTGACCTAACGTAAAATGTAGAAGGAAAACAAAAGCTTTTTTATGTTCGTACCTCGTGTACAGTGCAGTGTATGTGTATGGGGTATGAGAGGTGAGATTACAAAACATATTCCTAGTGTTTCACGAAGGCTCTGAGTGCTCGTGATGTTTGCACAGCTCTCACACGTTAATGCAGGCTGGGTGGAGGTTGATGGAACAATATTGCTGATAGCCGAGGTGGAATAAGCCTCTCCACAAATGGCACTTAATACTAACTTTACATAATATGTACGTATGTATTTCAAAAACCATTTGGGTATGCCGTTACTTAACTGTAAAATCATGAAGTGAAAATCTTCTGATTTATTTGATATTTGTGAAATATTTATGCGCAACAAAATTATGCTATGAAATAACGGTAGGTAGTAAATAACAATACCTTCACAACTTGTGATTGACGACTCTTGTTGTACGCATTCCAAATCTGTAACAAAGAAACATTTCTTTCTTAATAAAATACCATGAAATGTAGTGACGATGTGTGATTAGCACTTACCAGTGCAGTAGTAACAACGATAAAATCGAAGCCAATGTATTTTCGCTTAAAAGGCAGTAAATAAAGTAAATGCGAGGATATTTTATAGTAGAAACGTGAAGTATTATTTTATGAGCATACGTTACATTATAGCACAGCACTCGTAGAAAATCGATAAGTTGTAGTCAACACTTGTTCGCTGGACGCGCGGTCCAAAGTAATCCACACGAGTGGCACTTATTGTTGAGAGTTTCAAGTGTGCTAGTGGTAACACAATTTTACTTCGTTCTAATATTTATGCAATATGGTTATGTTTTGCTCGTGTTGACCAATAAAGTACGCTTAAGTAAATAAAATATTCCTAACTTTATATAGACATTGCGTATGTATGTCACACACGGGCACATTAGACACGTAGAAACGAGATGTAATAAAACAAGGCTAGCAGGGGTCACAGCACGCGGTACGAAACACACAATGTGATGATAAGAACGACAAATATACAAATATTTTTTTAAGATTTATCATTTGAGTGTATGCAAGTTATTAAATATAATATAGTACACCCCTTGCGTGCCCCAATAGTTATCTAAGTACAAACAAAACCGAATAAGGCGACTGTAAACAACATGAAGTGACGCACTGACGCTACACTAGGTTTATCGTTAAACTTTTAAATGTAGCACATCAATTCTGATTACAATATCTCGCTTCCCAGTTCACGTGCAGTGATAATAATCCAATAAACCACAATGCGATGTTGCTCTTGTAAAACAGGCAGTATTATAATTTACTTTAAATAGTCGACTGTTTAGCATTTTTAGACAAGTAGGTAGAACTAATAACTTTACCTATCTACCTCCTACTAACTACCAATTTTAAAATTACTGAAATGTTTAGAAAATAATAACGAAAATACTATTTTTGCCGTGATCATTATGACCAAATTGTAATTGTGGGCAAAGCCCATTTATTTGATTTTTTATGTTTATCATTTCCTGCTAGGTATCATCACTAATTTCCTCACTGTAGTTTATATGTACCTTTGATTTATTTTTATGCATTATCCACATGACGTGCTTATTTGGGCCAGCAGCGCAGAAGTTACGTGGAGACTACGCAGCTACTACGCGACGATACTGGGGCCCGTGAAACGGACCGCTACAGTATGACTACCTACAGTTCTGCTACGCTAAGGTTACGCAGCTACTACGCTGCTGCTACAGCACGGCTAAGCAGCTGCTACATCATGACTACGCAGTCACTACGACACGACTACACAGTTACTACACTACGACATGACTACGGAGCTGCTACAGACGATTACACACCTGCTAGTGGCTACGTTGAAGACACTGAGACAACGTAATTTTTACGTGGCAAAAATAATTAGAAGAAAAAGTTGCTAGGTAACGGGTATGTGATGATTACAAAGCCACAGAAATAAAATGTATTAAAATATGGAATAATTTTTAAGACTACAGCCGGACTAGCGGCAGCTTTTAAACGCGTAATTACGTGAAACAAGAAACTGAATATAGGCGGCCGGATTTGTGGTTTTATACCGTACTCGTTTTTCGATACAATTAAATAGTGGGCGGTTTAAAACGCAGCGGTTTACCCTTGTGTGGCCGGGGCCATAATTCAATTTCCATATTAAAATATGTTAATGTGATTTCACTGACCTATTTTAAATAATTTAATTAACTCTTTTATTGAGACAACATTGTCGTTTGATTAGAAATATACGCAAATTGTTTGATAGCGTCCAGGGTTGAAGGTTAGATAAATATCAAGAAAATTTCATATCAATTAAAATAATCCACTCGCGTCTGTTAAAAGCTTATTACGGAGTTAAAGAAAATAAAGCAAATAAGTTAGCATAAATAAATTAATGAGCTTTATAACTTGTACCAAACCTACCTACTTGATGCAAAAATGCGATTTTTCTATTTCTAAATCTCCATAATATGCGAAACAAAAACTAAGAGTTTACAGTTTCGTCCTCGTTTAACGACACAGAAGCAGCTGCCGGCCGGCCTACTTATCATGATCAATTATGAGGATAATCACAGAGCGGGCAAAACCACCACTTTCCCTGCCCCACTTGGTAGATGAGGTTCATAGAAATAATAAACGTCTATCTATGTATCTCTGCCAATTCCTTTAAAACATTTTATTATGACATTGAAATGATTGCAAAATGCAATCTACGTGGCTCGTGTTGATATTTACGACCGGTTCCGTCACGTCATACGACATTGTCTGTCATACAATAATATCTTCGTTCTTATAACCGGGTAGAGAGGGACAAAAGTCATCTTACATTGCATTGAGCTACATTTACCTTGACGTTTAACTTTGGAAGTCATGGGAAACAACTTATTACAAAGTTTACAATAAATTAACAAATAATACCATAAAAGGATTAAACGAATGAAGCTTTGGATTATATCAAAGTTTCTTTAAAATAACTTTATTTATGTTTACTGAGAGTGAGGTGAAGTAGTCGACGCAAACTGACGTCAGATGTTTGCTAAACAAATTGTTATGTGAGGGTAAGTGGGTTATACAAAATCTACGTGTGGGTGATAATTATATATTTGTTCGAAAAGTATTTGAAAAATTCCATAGTTAGCAAAAATCTATGAAGTAAACCCAACAAAAGTATTAGCGTTTCGAAATAGAGCACATAAGATTAAATTAACTAGCTGAGATCAATGAATCATACACTATTGTGGTTACTGTTTACTATTTCAGAAGTTTAAACAAATGTGTAATACAATAGCAATAAATGATTGCAATTGTGTTTTGATTTTCAGCAATACTCAATAAAGTATAAGAGTGATCATAAAAAATATAGAGATATCATGAAGTCGGAAGATAGACCGTGCAGTGCTGTAAGGGAGGTGAGCGACCGGCTGGTGGGTCAACGTCGCACACGCCTCGTCCGCACTGATTCATCTTCTGTTGCGCAATATGCTAAATGTTTCTTTTTATACACCTAGCTCCGTAGCTAGTACTTGAATCACTTAAATATAGTCTAACATACTAGGCTTCCAGAGAAAACCTGCAATGAATATTTCAAGGTGACAGTCTGGTCAATAAACTCAAATGAGTAAGGCTCGAGAACGCCTATACGGTATTTTTGCTTATTTTTTTATTTCGTCACACAGTGTAAGATTTGTCAAGATTTTTGAAATATCATCATTGTTTATTATAAAACCATGACATGACATGGCCAACATACGCAGCGAAGGATTCGTAAGAGCATTTAAGATCGATTCGATCGGATTTACGAGTAGTTATGTAGTCTTCAGTTTCACTAATCACAATCAACTAAGTGATTCATAAAGAAGGTTTTAGTGCTTAGTTTATTAGATTCTGTCATATTGTGAGAATTGGCAGAAGAACTGAGCTCACGCGAAACGCGATTGGGTCTTTTTTTACTGTATCAGATTTTTTTAATAAACATTATGCTAAGAGGTCGACTGTTAGTATTTTTTTTTCACGTTTCATTAAGTTTTTACTAACCCTGTTTCATGGTTTACGTGTACGATGTAGGCGCAGTAGTGCCATTAGGCCAATGACTATTTAAAGCTTTCATTCATTAACGTTTTAATTAAAAACGTTGTAAACTTTCACGAGCCTCTTTCAGATGAAATAATTTAAGTGACAGTTCATAAATATCGCGCTTTTCAGATATTTTAGACTTTTTAAGATAATTTAGATTGAATTGAATCCGTTTAATAAAAAGTTAACTATTTTATTGATTTACATCAAAATCGGGTAAAATATAATTTTTACATTATGAATTTTTGTGAGACATACTAAATTACCCAATTATTATGTTTTTCAACTTACTTAGTACTCACGTATTTTTTTATTTATGTGATGATGTTTTAAGCTTGCTGTGTCAAATAAATTGATTATTTTATAGCTCAGATAGTCAATAGTGGCTTGGATGGTTATAAACAAAGCATATTGTATTCGGCTGGTATAGTAAGTTCAATGCTACTTTAAAAACAAGTTTCTAAATGCAAAACAATAGTACGGTCAGTGTGTTCCGAACGTTACCTACTTAACTACACAGTTACGGAGTTACGAGCTGACTTACTGCAGACGGTATACGTATATTAGCCGTTTCAATGGTCGAGTGACGCAATCTGACAAGCACAATCGTGATGGCGTAATAAGTTCACATTATTCAGCTGTCCGATTCATTTGATTTTTATGGCTTATTTTAACCTCATTAGATAACGCCAATTAAAAGATGATTTTTGTGCTGATTAAAAAGCCTCGATAGGCAGTTAATCGACAAGCTAAAAGGCATGAAATTGATTAGAAATCGCAGGGGCTGCTTGTTTACATTCGAGGGAAAGTGAAGCTTACGTAACTAACTAAATTTTTCTAAGAATGAACTAAATTGCATGTAATTTTGTTCTTATTGTCATTTGACGACCTTAATGGTGATATGGTTGTCTGACACGATTTTATAAATAAATTATGGCTTCACCCATTATCGTCAATTTTGTTCATACTTGCAGAAAATTCAAGTTCGCCATGTTACGCCCGCATATTCTGTTTTTATGTCAATATTGCCAGCCTGACAAGGCAACGAACACGATGTGCGCTTTATATCTAACGTCCTACTTAGTAACAGTGCGTTAGTGTCAGCTGTCGGGTTACTCTAATTATAATTAACGGTATACGGTACCATCTCCATGTCGCGTGATTTATAATCGGGCTCACAGGTGCAACTCTAGTTTTTGCTGACATTGCTTTATCGAAAGCAATCGAGATAATTTGTAAAAAAATAAGTAGACAAAAGCAACGGCTCCACCTGTTTTTGAAGATCGAAGAGTAAAAAACTAAAAAGGTTGCGTCTATTAGGCGCACGAGTTAACCTCCAAAAAATGTAGCCCCGAGTGGTCCTTTCGTAGAATAAC